TACTTAAGTGAAACTTAAATTTTAATTTGGCAGTCGTTTAATGAAAAGACCGTAAACTTTATCAAGGAAAATTGAACCATCATAAGTATTTATGAAAAGTGTTCATCATTAATAATTAGAGAGAATGAATTCTGATTAATTAAATGCTTAAGTAGCAGAAATTAAAAAAAGAAGAAAAGATAAATTAAGATAACGTGGAATTATTAAAGATCTCATAAAAGAAAATATTTAAAAAGTTATTGAATATAATGAAGAACATTAAAAAAGTTTTAGAGAATTAAAAAAAACTTAAGGAGATAATAGAATTGAAGATGTTCTTTGTAGAAAAAAGTTAATGAGTTAAAATGAACAATAAAGGAAAGAATATTAATAAAAAACTAAAGAATTAAGTAAAATTATAAGATAGAGACATAATTTTGTTTAATAAAAAAAGAACCTTAAAAATAGGGTCTGTGCCCATTGGTTTAATAGTATTTATATGTCTTTGATATGTACAAAGATTTATTATATGTTTTAACATAAAATAGAAGCTTAGAATCAATCTACTTTAATGGCATTTTAAGTCAAAAGAATTATGAAAAGAATTCATAAAAGATTAAGTGCAATAAAAGGAGTAACAATATATGATAGAGTATTTTTCGATGTTAAATTGTAAGTTATAAATAAATCAATATTCTAGAGTATTATAATGTTTTTGTAAATCTGTATATAATAAGCAAGTTAAATTGCACATTGAAAAAATTGTTCCGCACTTAAAAATTAGAGCAGAAATCTATCATTTTAAGAATTAAGTGTTAATTACAAATTTTAAAATTTAAAAGATTAGATCTTTGTTTTTAGAGTTTTTATTGAGATATAAATCTTATAAATAAATACTTCATAATCTCTGGAATAAATATTTTAAAGAGTAATTTTAAAAATATTAAAATGGATTAGATCAGACTAAAAAGGATATATATTAGCCATTTTTAATATAATTGTAAAATTAAGATTATTTTATGTATTTTTAATAAATTAATTAATTCTAGTTAGATTTAGAGCATATTTATAGAAACCTACAGTAAAAATAAATTAAGAAAATATTTAAAAGATATGAGTATCTATGCGATATATTTGAAAAAGCTCAGATCATAAAAATATAACAAAACAAAGAGAAGAGATTTTGTTTAAGATTAAGTGATGCATTGTCCTCGAATGTTTTAATTGCCTACATATGATGATGTTTTGGAATATCTTCCTTAACTTATCTTGAACAATCAGAAAATTGATTAAAGAACTTCGTAATAGATGTAACAATCATAAATTCCTTTGATTTAAGAGTCTTTAGAGAAAAAAAAGAAACAAACTAAATAAAAAAAATGAATTTAATATTTAATTAATAATGTAATGGATTAGAGAGTATATGAATCTGATAATATAGACCAATTTGTCGCCATCATTAAACAGCCCTAAATTCATTACTTTTTAGATTCTGATCTACTATTTGCAACTCACACATTTCATAACCTAATAATATGATGAAAATGTTTTCAGATTAATTAAAAACATATCAGAAATATGTGTAATGACTCCTTTGTTTTAAAACATTTATGTCATAAATGTTCTTATTGGTATATTTCTTATTCTATTAAACTTCATACCCTATTTAATAATTTTGTACAGGAAATTTACAATTGAAAATTAAAAAGTGTCAATCATATCCCAATCATTATCACAGGTACAAGCAAACATAAATTAAGTCTGCCACAAAGTTGGTGAATTGTTATTTTTTGTATTTCACTTGGTTTTTTTACTTACCCTAGATGCATTACATAGGTTGGAATTTTTTAAGTTAGAGTGATCTATTTGTTATTATATTATCAGTGATAATACTAAGTATTTCAACAGGATCATTGTTGATTTCAAATATCTATTTCATAAACTTTGAATTCAATGAATAATCATTAAGAAAACATTTTACATATTATAATTGTTTTGCATAACTACTTATTATTCCTATGGCTATATTAAATCAAAGTACTGATTCTCTATACTATTTCATTGGTAGAATACTTCATGGATTAATTCTATTTGTTTTAATTTATGAGGCTTATTTCGAATTACCATTTGGGTATATTTTTATTTAATAACTTTTTTTTAGATTTTCAAAATATTCTACAATCTATAATAGATTATTAGTTATGCATATAATAATGTATATTTTCACATCAAATTTATATTCAAATCCAGATCAGGCTTATAGTTTACTAAGTGTAATGCTTATATTATAACCAATCTCATAATTTCTCTTTCAAACACTAATTCAACATAAAAGATTGAAAACCTATCATAATACTTTAAATTAATATTATGAATTGTTGATTATTGAAGATTTCTTTGATTTAATTTAAGCAACTTAAAAAAGTAAAAAAAGAATCATTGAATTAATTTAAAAGTTTAGTTTACATTTGAATCGTTGTTAATCTCTTAAATGTTAATGTAAGAAAATTGGTGTTGGAGGTGTCTTAAGATAAGAAGATGCTGTCATTTTAACATCCTGTTTGTTTAGAATTGGATTTGAAAAACATAGAAATGATACAAAAAATCTAGAAATTTACAGTCTTAAATTTCTTACATTTATTAATAAATACAGAAATAATGCTCCAAAGAGTTATTAAGAATTGAAGATTTTATTTTAAAAAAAAAGAGAATATTCATTTTATTTCATATAAATTTCACTATTATTATAGTTTATTCTATAGGCTTAAATGTAAAAGGATGAAGATTATAACATTAATAAAGATACAAGAGTATCTAATGTTAAATTATAAGTAAGTAAAAGCGAAAGAAGTATAGTATAAACTCTATATCAAATGGAATAAATTAAATAGAATTTATTGCCATTATTAATGTAGCTTAGTTAATTTAAAATATAATTTTGGAAACAATATTTAGCATCTAAATTTTCTAATTTCTCTGAAATTGAAATTGAAGTCAAAAAATTATAACTTTTAAAAAATAAAATTTAAAATTAAATAAAAAAATATAAACCAATTTTTTATACTCATGGAAGAACATTTAATGTTCAGTTTTTAAAGTATAATGCTTTGATTGATTTACTTTTATTTAATAATGTTAGGAAATATTTTGAATTAGAGAGAGGTAATAAATAAATATTATATATTCTTTAGAAAGAAGAGAAATTTTATAATTGGAAAAGAGTATGAACTCATTTGAAATTACAAATATTAACTTTTTTAAAGGTGAAGCTATATCTGTAAAAGTTTGTATAGCATAAGGTCCAAACATAGGAAAAGTCTTAAATGAAGTTATATCTCCATTGATTCCAAAATTTTTTGGTTTTCATCGTTTTGATAATTCAATGGAGGTTTTTCTTGATTTTACAAAAGGAAATATAAATACATTGATGCCTAGTTGGTTAGAACCAGTACATGATGAAATAATGTAAAATTATATTAGAAGAGGAGGTACAGCCAGAATAGGTAAATATTTTTAAACATTTGCAAAAACATATGATAAAACATTAATAAGATGTTAAGTTTATCTTGCTCATAATTTTAGTTAAAATTTAAGAGATGATTTTACAATGATAGGTTGTTTAAAATCTTTAGAAGAAGAATAACCTTAGATTATACATGGAAAAGAACCTAAGAAAATTAAGGATGTAGCTTTTAAAGGTGTTTAACATATATTATTTGATGTTAATGGAACTATTTTGGGAGTTACTTAAGGATTATACTTAATGATTGATAGATTATAAAGGACAAAAATTACACAAAATGTTGAACCCTTTAAACATCATAGTCATGATAAGAGTAAATCTGAGAATTCTTCTATTGAAAGTGAAAGTTTTAATGTTTATTAGTAATAATGGTCAAATCAAATCTTAAAAATAGATGACTTTTATTAAAAAGTTTTAATTTGGATGTTATTACCATTTATATCAAGAGAGATTGAATCAACTGGAATTGAATATTTAATGGATGGAGAAACTCCTCCTAAAAATAGATATCCAAATTTAGTAGATCTAGAAACTACTAATAGTATTGTAAACAATAAAGAAACTTATTTATTTATTCCTGAAGATATTAATTTATTTGTTTCATAGTATGAAAAAGTATTGCAAAAAATAATAGATGATGTTCGTGTTCAATCAAATAATTTTTCATCAGGAAGTTAATATAAAGGAATTAAAAGCGAATATTAAGATAGTGAAAGTTTTAGTGCTTAACAGAATGTTACTATATATAATGAAAAATTATGCACCTTTTTCTTTGATTAACATTTAAAAAGTCATTAAGCTTTACAATTTGGTACGACTAGATAATCAGAGATGCAGAAAAGCTCTGTTAAACCATCATCTTAATCATAAGTATCGTTACATAGTGAGGAAGATAATGAATAACTCAAAACAAGAGCTGAAAAGATTTACTATGATAAATATACAAAATATGTTGAAAAAATTACACTTTAAGATTTTAATCCAGTTCCTGTTTTTTATTCAGTGAATTATGAAGAATATAGATATAAAAAAAATGATATCGAATAAAAATAACAATTTTTTGTTATTGAATTAGCAGTCAATGAATAACAATTATTAACTACTATGGGCTATAAGCGTTAAGTTAGAGAAACAATTAAATAGGCTTGTATAAATTTACAATCAAAAAAACTCTTAATTGAACAATAAATCTAAACAATAGATTCAAATAGTATTTAAGATAATATAAGTGAATAAAGAAATGATTATGATGGAGAGATAATTAATTATATGTTTCCCTCTCATCCATCTCATGATTATGAAGATATATATTTTCAATCTCCTAAAATAGATTAAATTTCTAATTAACAAAATTTAAATGAAAATAAATAATTATTTACTAGTAGAAGCTATGAAAAGGATAACTAAATTAAGTAAAGCTTATATACATAGGAATCACTAATGAAAGCATCTTTTAAATTGAAATTCCCAGAAAGGAATCTTACAATAAATACTATGAATAGATTTATGGATAAGAAAAGATAGCAAGACTTTTTTAATGAGACCGATTCTAAATTAGCTATTGATAGTAGAGCTTCATAATAATTAATTTAAGAAGAACATTAAGTCAAATATTCTGAAAATCTAAAAATATTTGATTAAAATTATAAATCAATTCATTCTAAAATGGAAGACTTTAAAAATCCTACCTCTTTTAAAATATAAAAATATCTTTTATATTTTGTTCTTTTTTTAATTATTGGATATATCATACTATTAACTATAGCTGTTTATTAATAATATAACTTTAATCAATGTTTTGATTTAATTGAATTAATGCTATCCACATAATAAAGTTATTCATAAATTACTCATGGTCTCTATCGTTTAGAATTAGCAGATTAATTTAAAATAGATTAAAATATGAAAGAATTCTATTTGATTCAAATTGATTAAAATCTTCAAAAATTAATTAATTTATAGAGTGAATAATTAATTGATATAAATTAAGTTAACTTTAGTGTAAATTAGTTTTATAATATAGAATAATAATTAATTTAAAATCCTACATTATAAGAAACTATCTCAATGAGTTTAGCATAATTTTATAAAATTAAAAACAATACTCTAAACAATTCTTAAGTGACGCTTATTTCAATTGCTAATTTAAAAGAAATTGGACAATTGCCTCAATTGGCTTATGATAATTGTTATGATGAAAAAGTATTACATGAGGAATAAGTCTAATCTTTATTGACGATTTATATGTTAATTATTTTCTTTTTGGTCATGTTATTACAGTTTTTGTAAGTTCCTTTAATATCTAAACTTAAGGATGATCATAGAAGATTGTATAAAATTGTTATTAAATTGTAAGTCTATGAAGTGCAAGATGAAATTGAGACATATGAACATATAATGTCTATTTTTAAAAAGTCTTTGTATGAATGGATGTTAATTGATTTTGTATAAGAAACTAAAATGTTTGAAAATAATATTGAAAATATATAGTTTTAAACTTAACAACTAACCGAATAGAGTTAGAATTTATTGCTTAATACAAATAATAAAAAAAATAAGTATAAATTATTGGAGAAATTAAAAAAGTAACACATAAATTAGTTTAAATATATTATAATATTGATGATTGGATTAATCGTAATACTTGCTTATTTTTTAATTATCTTCTTTGTTATTTTTATATTGTCTTAATAACTGTTTGCAAATGCAAACTTTCTATTTAATTTTAAATTATTTCAATCTTCATTTATTAATATCATTAATAATATTGATTTAGTATGCTACAATAGTTATGATTAATAACGATTTATAAATATAATGAGTTAAGAAGAATTCAATAATTACACCTAATCTTTGAAAAGCAGTTAATAAGATTAATACATAGAATTTAATAACAATTTCGCTTCTATAGTAAATGATGAATAATTAAAATACAATTTATAATAGATCAATGAGAATAATATATGTTTAGATTAAATTGGGATTGCTTGTAATGAAACTAATTCGTATAAGCTTAATGCTAATATTATATTGCATTATTAATATGGTATAAAGTATTTGATAACTCAAATTGATAAGTTAATTGAATCCTAACCTAATTTTTTCTATTTTAATAATGTTAACAATTCTATTAAATAAGTCTAAGATTTTTTATTGAACAATGATCATATCATATATATTGATTATGGGAGTGAGATATTAAATTTAGCATATGCAAAATTAGTTAATGTTGCACATCTAAAATTTGATTAAGCATTAAATACTTATAAATAAACATTGATGATATTCATTTTGAGTGTAGGAATGTTAGGATTATTAATTATTTTGATGTTAGGAAGATTGTTATTGAATATGTAATAAGATTCTATCAATACATGTTAATCATCACTTCTTCTCATTTCTCCTAAAAGATACTTGAATCAAAATATATCATAATTAACTTAGAAAAAAAGATGAATGATTTTTTTAATCTTGTTAAAAATCAGGTATAATATTAAACAATTGTATTTTTAAATCTTATTTTAAAGAATTAATTTATTCAATCTACTAAATTTCTTAGTGTTCTTGTAACAATTGTATCTCTAAGAATTATTATATAAGATAAATTCTTATTATAGTAAATATTGTTATAAGATTGAAAATAATTTAATTAATGAACCCAACTTTCAAATAATCACAATAATTGGAAAATAGTAGCAATATTATGGGGAGCAGTGCTGGATTTAATAGAAAAATAAAATTGGCCTCATAAAGACCTGGTAGTCGAGACTAAAAAGTAAAAACGGGAGAAATGTATTATGAAAATATATACCTAAATAGATTTCCTTAATTTTAAGATCCATTAGCCACAAATCCTTTTAATTTGTTAAGTCTTAATCTTTATTAGGATGAAAATACCTTTATATCAACAATGAAAATAGAACTTTAATAAATATAAGAAGAAATCAATAAATTAGATATTGATGGACGAGTACTAATAAACTATTCATCTTTAGATTCGAAATAACGATCCAAGACAAGAGTATAGATTATAATAAATTAAAAAGTGGGTTGCTTAAAATTCACAATCTAAATTAACATTTGAAAAATATAATAACATTGAAATTTCATAACTGCTAACTATATTAGATACTAGAAATTTAGAGTAATTATTATAATGCTATTTAAGGGAAGCTATTATGAAACTATATAAATTCATATCAATTATGGATACCTTAATCATGAAAATTACTGAGTATGAGGCTATTCATTTGATTAAATTTGATGAATTGTTTAGTTCATTATGTCCTAATTATTAGGATAATTTGCAATAAATATCTGTTTTGAAATTTCCACTATCAATTGCTAATTTAAATCGTATGACTGAGTTATATTAAGTTAAATAAGATAAAAATTACTCATAAAAATTATCAAATGACAATAGTAATAATAATAATTCAATTTTACTCAAATAGATTAAATAAAAAGATGATCAAATCAATGATTTAAATAAAACAATTAAGTAATTGTAATTATAATTGTAAACACTTATGAAAGGAAATAATAATAATAATCAAAATTCTTCTGAGCAAATTGAACAATTAAGAAATGAATATGAAATAAAATTACAAAAATAAAATGAAACTATCACTCTGAAACATTAAAAAGAAATAGAAACTTTATAATCTTAAATTGAATAATTTTAGAAACAATTATTATAATTAAAAAATCATTATGAAAAATAAATTTCTGATTTAGTATTATTAAATTAATAAGAATAATTAAATTTAAAATCTTAATTTGAAAATAAATTAGAATAATAATCAAAATATAATTAAACATAAACATAAACACAATCTAATATCTAATAATAATAATCTAATGGCGTGGCAAAAGACCATAATTACTATCAAAAAATATTAGATAAAGCTTAATAAGAATATAATGAAAAATATAAAATTTTAGAAAATGTAATTTTTCATATAAAATATAGGATCTTATTAAATTAAGAAATTAATTGTAAGAAAAATAAACTTTGGTTGAAAGTTAATAAAGAGAAATTCAATAATGGAAAGAAACAATTGATAGATTAAATAAAGTTAAAGTATAGTGAATCTATATAAAATTAGGATGAAATATATTAACAATTTTAGAAGCGTTACACAACTGAAGAATAATTTTCAAATTCTTATGAAGCAGCATTGAAATTAGAATTTGAAACAATGAAAAAAGCTTTTGAATAAAAAATATAAAAATATTAATTAGATTTAGAATCTCAGAGAAGAGAGTCAGGAAAATAAATAAATGAGATACGAATCTAGTTAGAAAGAGAACAGGAAACAAAAAAATTATTATTGAATAAGCTTAGTTTATATAGTTGAAATTAATATTAAAAAATAAAGACTTGAAAAAAGTAAAAGTGTTTTAAAATAGTTAGTAATCTAATTATTAAACCATAGGTATTTTTTTCTGATATTTAAAAAGTATATAATTAATTAATGTAAACTCATATCTTATAATGACTAAAAATAAAATTTAAACGTCTAGTCTGCTAATTTGGAATCAATAATAGTTTTAATCTGTTGAAATAAATCATAAAGAACGCAGTTTTTTTATTTTTTTTTCAATAACAGCTTTAATTCATGAACCCATTATTTGAAATTCGAAGTATTTATTCTATACTAATATGAAAACCAAAAATATTCTAATAATAATTAATAAAAATTTGATGAACAATAAAAATATTGAGTTATTAGGCATCTATAAATTTATTACTATAATCATTTGACTTTCTATAACATAAATCAGCAACACCAACTTCTCATTTTTGGAGGAGTATAGTGTATATCTGATAATATTGATAATTATTTAATTTTGAGTAACACATTTGATACTCAATGCTGTACCAAGTTTACATTAATAACATGAGATAGATATAACTCTTTCCAAAGTGAAATTAAAAATAATTACCAGATCAATATCATAATCATTTGAAAATACAGAAGTTCATCCCCTTATCATAAATCTATTTGAAATCTGTATTTTTTTTTTTGACTATGAAAGTTAAAGTTAATTTTTCTGTTGTATTTTATATTTTATAAACAAAACCAATTAAAGATCATACTATGTAAAACATATTATCTTCTTAAATTGTATTCCTTTTTATTATTTTCCCTAAAATTTGTAGTTAATAAGGCCAAAAGGATTGATTCTGAGCTTAAAGTTTAAATATTATTTTTAGCTAATCTTCTCTAAAAAAAGATCATCAATCATTTTAATTATTTCTGATTCTATCTACCTTGTTGTTGGTCTTAAATCAGGATCTAATGATTTTAACAGAAAATTTTTTTAAAAATCTTATAAATTTTTTATATATATTATATATATGGCAATAAATAATATTTTAATTTTATTTTGATACTCATTCTTTCAATTCAATCACTAAATGATTGACAAGCAATAAATTTCTATTTGAAATTTACTTCTGGACAATAGTTTACAAAGAATATAAGTATTTATTCAAATATCCAAAAAAACCTATTTTATATATTTAGAGATTTCACATAGTTTAATGTCGATAGTCAATTACATTTATAACTAACAATAGTACTAAAATATTAAAAATGTGTAAAGATTTTAATATTTTTATAATGACATTTGTTTATATTACTCTATTATAAATTGTTTAAAGACAATATATTCTTAAATAAATAAGGCAATAATTATTCCATTATTAAAATAAATCATTATATTTAAGTTAAGTATTTTCTATCTTTTCGAGAAATAAACTATGTGTCTCCATTCTTTTTCTGTATCGATACAGGCGAAAATAATATGTATTGATTAGAATTTGTGTTTGAGCTTTAAGTAGTTTCTTTTAATAACTCACAAGGTTTCGAAGACTTTATTGTTTTAAAAGAATCTACTGAAACACAGTCTGATATTGAGTTCTCCACTTAAATTAATTATGCAATTTACTATCAACAAATTAAATTAGAAACTGAGACAATTGATCAATATCATTCGATTTCTCAAATGATGTTATCGCATTCATAAATCTCCCATTTTCTTTTGTGATTAAATAATCTTTTAAGATTATAGCATTAGTACCTTTTAATATGCCCTTCTAATCTAGAGAGATTGTATTGTCCTAATACAGAGTATAAATTAGATATAAAATTCTCGCTTCTGTGGATTAAAATTGATTCATATAAATTATATTTTATTTTCTAATTTACTCCACTCTAATAATCCCTGTCTCCCAATGACAAAAGGATATTGTAATTTCTTATAATAAACAAAATTCTTTTTATTACATTATTCTAAATTAATATCTCTAGCCATTTTAAATTAATATAATTATATTCTACAAATCAACATGTTTAAAGTCTTTCTAATAAAAATTATTTATTTAATAAAATCTTAATTATTTTATACCAAAAATTTTAAACATTTTAGTTTCAATAACAAAATTGATAATTATTCAATTCAATTGAAGACATTAATATGGATTCTTTATTCCTTATTGTACTTTTTCTATCATTTGTTCTCTAAATTAATTCAAAGCAATTCTAATATCTTTGCACTTTTTTATTACTATTTCTATTATTCATAAATTAAATTTTATACATTCAAGAAGTGGTTAAAGATCTTTTAGTGCTCTATCTTTCACATCTCCAAACCAACTTTAAATATAAATTCCATTTTCTGGTTGCAATTAAAAATTTTCAGGCATATTGTCAACTATTATAACTTTCGATAGATTTTTATTTAAAATTGAAAGATCCTATAAAATACAAACATATTTTATACCTTGATATATACATCATTCTTAAACACAGTTTAATCTCTATACAATCTTTATTATACTACTTCATTTTTATCAAGAATATCAATTATAAAATTTGCATAATCTGGTAAAGCTGCCGTGAAAATAACTATTTCATAATATTTCGATAATGTTTCTATAAATTCCTCAGCAAATGGTCTAACTAAAAACTATCCACCTCCTTTAGGAAACTATTTATTAATGACTAAACTACCTCTTGATAATGAACCAATGTTTCATCCAAATCTAAAACCAATGTATACTCTTTTTAATTTTTTAATGATTTTCCTACTTTCTTTGGAATCAATTTCTCAATTAAACCAGATAATTTTTTTTATTAATTCAGAAATTAATCTAAAGTATTTACTGCTATGGATATATTCAATTAAATTTCGGGACGAGCAATTTCGTCAATCCTTTTAAACTATCATATTGATTAAATAAATTACATTAATCCTAAAATAGATTTTATAATAAAATTGTTTTTCTATAATGCTTAACTTCCTTTTGGAGATTGTTTTCTATTATTTTAACTTCTAAGCTCAATTCTTTGTTTAATTGAATTTTAAAGTTAGACATTATTTGTGTTTCCCAATAATATTTAAAAAACATAAAGATTGCTATTCAAAATATATTGTATAAGATTTTTAATATTCTAATCTTCATTTCTCTCTTGATCCTAAGATTCGGTTATCAAAATTAAATTAGTTTATGATTCATATAATAAAGTTTCAAGTATTTTTGGTTCTACTTTAAATAAATATTCACTCTAAAAATAAAGTCATTTTTTACATTTTATTTATCATTAATCAAGATAATTAATTTTTATAATTAGTCACACTATTAAACTAAATTTTTGTAAGTTAAATTGTCTAGAAGATTCAAAATATCATTCCAAAGTTATTCTTTTTCAAGAAGTAATTTAATTATAGTTTATAAAAGTGTTTCATCATTATCTTAAGAATTTGTGTTTGAAACATCCCTTTTTAATTTAGGAGAATGAAGAGGAGAAATGTTAATAATCTTTTCTATACTTTTTTTATCTGAAGATTACTTTGATTATATTGTATTATCTATTCTTTATTTTAAAACATTTAAAGATTCAAAATATGTTTTATTAACCATTTAAGGACAAGATTTTTTAGAACTGCTATTTTAATTAGTTGTATTAAAATTTTATGGTTTATTTTTCTAATTGCTATTTAAAAGCATATTAATTGTATTGATATTTTCATTATTAATTATATTTTGACGAATAGGAGTAGAATTTTTTTATTTACTCTATTTCGTTAGTTAACTATTGTCATTTTAACAGCATTTTTAATTTGCTTTTGAATTTTAAGAAGATAAATCCTTTTTCTTATTATATTAATAATATAAATTCTGAAAATATCGATGATCTAATTCTCTATTTTATTCAGGAACTATAAATGTTGATTTAAGAAAAGTTTCATTATTCTTAGGAGTCTTTTATTTTGTAGTATTAGTTGTTCGACTTGAAACTATATAAATTTAAGATTATCAAATACATAAACAATCTCCTTTATTATCATTATTTTAAATTTCCTTTCTTGATATTCCATTTTATCCAAACAACTATGTTGTAGCTTTGTTTATTTCATCTTAAACCAAACTATTTAAAAATTATTTCACTTTTTAAGGATTAGAATAATCAAGTCTTGCAGTTTAAGGCCTATTTGTAGGGTTCTTAGGAGTAAAATCTTTTTTAATAATTAAAATTCTTACTTCTATTGTCAAGTTGATTTTCTTTAAATGATCCACGGGATTTATTTGAGCATGATGAAACATCTAATGTATTTTAATAGTCGAACATTTTTGAGTTAAGCTTGCTACAAAACATATTTGAAATTGTTAACAGATTTAATTAATTTCTCAAAATTATCCAATTTCAATGAATTTATCACTAATTTAAAAAGTGTAGTCTTTTAAGACTTCAATCTTATTTGTTTTCCTTACCAAACCTTGATTTCTAAAGTTTATATGATTAATATAAAATTAAAGATATTTACTTAAAAAAGAGTTAGTTTTAATACTATTGATTACATTCCTTTAATATATTCCATTATTTTATTAAATTGTAATATTCATGTAGAATATCTCATTAGATTGATAATATAGTTTATAGTCAGAATTAATTAAAATAAAAATTACTCAAGCATCTAATTAGAATTCTTCTAATTAAGTAAAATCAATAATTTAAGTTCCAGAACATATTTTGTTAGTCAAAAATTAAGTAAACTCATAGGAATTTATGAGTTAATAATTACTATAATTTATGAATCATCTAATACCTGCCTAATTCTTTTAAAAACTATTAAATTTTTATTGCTCTTTTTTTCAGAATTTTTGGGCAAAGATTACCAAACAAAAGTTTAGAAGGAAATGTCAACTTAATACCAAAATTTTTTTTGAGTTTTTGATATAATTGCTATAGAGTAGTATAGCGCGTTTCCATAATCCATATTTTTCCATATTCATTTACTTTAATCTTAAAAAATAGTTAAAAATAAAAATACTTGATATTCAGCAAAGCTTTTATGAATTATTACAGTTTGAATCCTAAATTTTATGTATTAAATTGATTTCTTCTATTAATTTTTGAGAAATGATAAAATTGGTAAATTTTTAAAGTCTTAATTTGATTCCAAACCACATGACATATTGGGTATCATTGCAAAGTTATTTGACATTTATATTTTTTAGATAGATTTACTATTTTTAATTAAAATATTAAATTAGACTACCTGATAATAGATGTTATGAAAAATTTACTATATATATATGGTGAAATTTTGATTGAAATCAACAATATTAAGAATTATTATAAATTAGTTTTATTTAATTATAAGTAATTTATATTATGGTAGATGATTAACATAGAATATGTAGTCAGCGAATAATTGTAATTATATTTCTATAAATTTTTCAGAATATAGGATTTTTGTATAATATGTTAAATTATATATATATAAAATTATATGTAAAATGTGTGTATTCTAAAAAGATCAGGTCAAAGCAAGGAATATGATTGATTAAGTTTTATAAATTTTAAGTAATTTAATTAAGTTATTATCTTAGTCTTCAAAGAATGGGAGGAGCATGCTCTGGAACAAAACCATAGCCTAAATAGAAATAGAAATAGCAAGAATTAAATATAGTTGAATAACCATATTTACAGGTGCAATCAATTAGCTAACCATAATCAAGGCCTCCAGAATAAAGAAGTGAAACTGGTCAATCTGTAAAGGATTTGCTATATTAATATAAAAAGTTCACAGATTTTTTAGGATTAGTAGGTAATTTGGATCATTTGCCAAACCATACAAGAGATTAATTGAATAATTGTATTATATAGAGATCCAATATTAATATACTAATATAGAATAGTATTAAAAGAATTATGAGGGAGTAAAAAATAATAAAAAGGGTAGAAGAAAGTGATTATTATTTAATTCATAATGATGAGAAATTTGCTATTACATTTGTGTAATTAATGTAAAAAATATCAAACATAATATTGACTGAACTTCAATCAGACTCAAATTTTTAGGAAGCTTTTCCAATGTTAATTGTTTCATTTGTTGATTTAGCAACATAGATAAGCAAAGAAATAGATATTTTTTTAAATTTCAAAACTCAACCAATCAAAATATAGAATACCAAACATCCGATTTCTTAAGATTATTAAGCAACAACTCATAAATGATTTCTTTGTAGTAGTGATTATATCTATAAATTTAAAATTAGAGATTAATATGATTTATAGATCTAAGAACTTATGTATCTTCTCTTTTTTTTTTATATAAGAAATTTAATATGATTTTTATAATTTACATTTAACCAAAATTTGCATTTAAGAAACTTATTGATATTTTCTCTTTTGAATTTACAATAAAAATATTGCTTTTTTATGTGGGTTTAATTAATTTGAGACAGAGAAAGTTTATATTTGTTTATAGATTAAAAGAAAATACAAATATAATTTATTAATAAATGGACTAAACTCCGACAAGTATAAATACTTTTACAACAACCGATAAAGAATTAGAAAATAATTTAAAGGATTTACTTGAGAGGATTTTAGTCTATGTAGAGAAGTACATTGAAACAAAGGAAGAATTGAATTAAATTGAAAATGAATTAAAGGACTACGAAAGTTTGTCTTATTTGGTTGGTATAATAAAAGTAATATTTACTAAACTAATGCTGAAAATAGAAAAGAAACTGTTGTAAGTAAAAAATTATTATTCAAAATCCAAAGGAAATTGGATAAATGCAACGATTTAGATAAGTCTTCATAATATAAAGATGATGAAGAATATGACAAATTAGAATAAACCCTAATAAAATATGAGCAAGAAATTCGCAACCATATAAGTGTACTGATATTTTTAAAAAGTTTAGGTTGAATAATAATTAAAACTATTTGCAGAATCTATTCAAAACAAATTGGATGAGAGTGAACAAATTAGATAAGAATTATTAGAAACCACAAAAAATAATATAAGTGTAAATGCATTTAATCTAATTATGATAGAGGTTGAAAAGAGAGAATTAAGAATTGAATGAGAAAGAGTAATTATTATAATAGGAAGTAAATAACTTAAAATTAACTATTTAAAATTTAGAAAAAGAAAATAAAAGAAAATCAATAGACTCTAATTAAAGAGATTATTTATAAGCTTTAATAAATTAATAAGCTCATCCATCTTCAAACTAATAAAAATAAGGGTTTAATCAAAAATTTACTTTGGATTAAAGATTATTAAACTCTCATTCTGAACATAAGGCAAATCCTAAGTAATTTCTAAAAGAATAACAAGAACTAATTCTTCCTACATAATCATCATAAAAACTTAATTATTATAGTATTATTAATAATGCAAATACAAAATAAAAATCAGAAGTAATGAAGTCAATGCAACAAAAAGATTTTAACAATATTTACAGTTAAATTATGAGGAGTAAACATAATTCTCTATCATCTATTAATGATTTGATTTAAAACGTGTCACAATAAGAGAAAAAGAGAATAGATTAATTATAATCTATATCTAAGAATAGTTCTTAGAACAATAGTATGATTTAAAAGAATAAAGGTATAAATATCTTAAATTAAAAGAACTTAAATAAATTGAGCAAATAGAATTGCAACAGCGAAGCAAAAGTTCAAAAAGAGCAGATGACATCATAAAATATTAAACTTTGGAATCGCTAATAAAGTTAAAATGATTAATTTAATTTTGCATAATATCTATTAGATTAAATCAAAATGAATAATTAACAATGATTATTCTTATTTATATATTTTTAAATGTTATATTTAATAGCAATTTTGTAAAATTGTTATTTTTTTATCTTCAACTTAGATCTGAATATTATCATAATTATTCATAATGTTAACTAATTAAGTGATTTGTATGATTAATTCTTTATATTTACTAAAGATGATAAATAATACAAAAAAGTTGAATATATAAGGATCTAATTGAAAATTTTACAGTATTTCGATTACATTAGAAATTGCAAAGATAAAAAACAAATCATCTTCTTTTAAAGTCAAATATTTGTAATGGAATAAACTCTATAAGTATATGTTTAATCTCAGGGAAATTAAAGAAAAACATTTTTCTAAAAATTATATTGAATTTCAATAAAATGGACTATTTTTGAGTTTAAAAGTTTCATTCACATTTCAGATTTTTAAAAAGAAATAATTAAAATAACAATCTATTTAAAATAAATTTTACTTTATGTTTCTTAAAATAATATATAAAATTAACAATTGTATTAATTATTTCTAATTAAATTCTATAAAAATTAAGAGAAACTGAATTGAATTTAAATAAATGTTTTATAAACTTGAATCTTAAAATATTGTCAAAAATTACGAATCAATTCATTTTTGAGTTTTAATATCTAAAAGTTTTTTGGCTGATTAATTTAAGAGACTTTTATGATTACTTAACATACTTTTTGGTATGTTAGCGAAGACTTATTTATTTCCAGGTGCTGTAATTTGTTATTATGATGTTTTTAAATAGACCCTTTATTATTAAATTTCTTATATAATTAAAGTATTTTCAGTGCTTATTGTTTCCTCTTTTGATGGTTTTATTTCAGTATTTATATGGTATTTACTGACTTATTTTACAAAATAAACATTGATTTTATCATTGTTTATCACAACCTTGGGTGAAATAGTTTTATAAATATCACCCTCTTTGAGATTCTATTAACCATCTGTTTCTTTGACTGATTTTCTTTAAACTCCTGATTGTGTTATTTTTATATGTTCATCACCTAAATAGTACTTTTAATATACTTTTTTATCTGATTAATGTCTTAGAACTCGTAGAAATTTGAAGAATTGCTTTTGGATTGCCTATTTAATTTTTTTACAATAATTTAGAGTCTCTATTTCCACTGCTCAAGTCCTTTAATTATATAGATGTTCTTCTATTATTTGATTCAATTCTTGCTGTGTTATTACAGTTCTGTTGAGTATTGATTTTTTTTTTGTTGCCACACTTAGTGCTTTATGCTTATTCGCTTTTCATATGATTTTATAAAGAATAATTAATCAATATTAAATATCAAATTTACTTATTTGATTTAAAATAAGCATACCAATAGGATAGTATTATTTTAATGAACAATACTGTTATTTCATAAAAAATAATTAAGGTTGTTATTTATTGACTTTTGAAATGTAAAAAAGTTGGTCTATTTATATTTATTGAAGTATGTAATAATTTTAAGAAAATAAATAATTTACTTACAAAGTTCTAATTCAATTAAGTATATTGAAATATACATGAGAAAATATGCTTTCAACTTTTCTGTAGATATCGTTTAATAAAATGATAAATTCCCACATATAATTAAGAATAAAAATAATGATTTAAATAAATTAAAATAAGATCAAAATGAATCTTATTAAAAAGACATCTAATCTCAAGATCCAAACAAATAATCTACCTATAAATTCTTAAACTTAGATCAATGCTTACTAATTTTCCGATGAAAAGGATGAAATTAATTCACCAGAAGTTAGGAAGTTTGAAACACTACTTTTTGAATCTTTAACTAAAACTTAAAGATTATCTGAAAAATTTAAACTTTTCCAACCATTAATAATAAATGAACAGTTGAAGTCGCATTCAAAAAGAAATTAAAAAGACCAATAAATAATTGAACTTTGAATAATAGATTATATTCATATAATTAATTAAAATATTCAAACAATTAAAAGATAAAAAAATTCTTATATTACATATTTTAAATAAATAATTAAGAAAAATTTGACAGTAAGTTAATTAATTTATAAAAAGCAAAAAAATTAGATTGTTAAAGAAACCAAATATAAATTGATATTGAATTAGAAGCGGCGGATATTATAAATAAAATTGAGAGACCTTAACAAGTTGAATGAATAAATTAATAATCTCTATAGAGAAAAGAATATTGATATTTATTAATTAATTATATAATGAATAAAAAATAAAAACTTTTTTTATCTCATCAAGTAGATTTGGGTATCAAATAGATTGAAGATATCTTTAAACCTTTAGCAACAGCTGCTTGTACTGGTAGTGAGTTTAATTTTGAAGATAAATTCTCATAAACAGCTACATCATCAAAATTTATGAAACCAAATTCAATGCACGGTATTAGAAATATATTTGATGGTATTAATTTAAAAATATATAAAAAGAAGTGAATAATGAAGAAAGAAGGAAATATATTGATAGCTAAATTGGACCTATATATGAAGATGATAAAAAAGAAAAGATTGTAAAATGGTCAATAGTTGGGAAACCTGAATAATTTTTATCAGTAAGAAATAGAAATAGATAAAAAGTTGTAATTAAATAAAAAAAAGGAGATTGTGATGATTCTTTTTCAGATGATCTTCCATCATCAAGTAAACCAATTATGTTACAATAATCTTAATCATAAATTTCAGGAATGGGATAATAAAAAAAAACACCTAAAAAACCAAGAGGTGAATTTAAAATGTTACCACGACAAGATGCATTAATTAAAATGGTAGATGCTAAAAAAAGAATAGAAAATAATTTAAAAGATAAAATTAAGTTTGAATAAAACCTTCCACTTCATTTACAAAATGCTGTCACAAGAGAAAAACGAATATTAGATAAATTTGATATGTAGTAAGAGAAATGGGAATTTTTTAATAATTAAATTGCATCAAATTGTGAAAGAAATCCTTTAAATACTATCATGATTAGATCAGAAGATTATAGAGGTAAAAACCAAAAAATTAACATAATTGAATCTTTAAAAAATGAAGATGAAAAATATAACAATAGATTATGGTATATGAGATTAAGATGGTATGATAATAAAGATGATAGACCTCCTTTTTCTTTAATAACATCAAATAAATAAAAAAGTCTCCCTTTGTCAAGTAGATTAGTAAATCGATTTGTTAAAGATTAAGAAGCTGAACAATTAGCTAATTAAGAAAAATTTGTATTATCTGATATCTAAAGCAATTTCAATACCAAAATTATAGAAAACCCATATTAATAAGTTGAAAAAGTGATTACAAATAGTATATTAAATACTAATATATTTAGTTAAACATAGCAAATTATACAGTAAAAAGTTGGAAAACATGTTTACAGATAAAATTAAAGATAAACCAAAAAAAAGATTTGTAGATACAAATCAGTATCTTGAGGTTATGGGAATTAATGTTTATAATAAAGAACTCGATTTTATTCGAAATAATAAATAACAAGAATACTAATACTTCGAAGAAAAATAGGATGAATAAGAAGTTTATATAGATAATTGGAATTCTTAACAATTAGCTAAAACAGGGCAACCATTAAAATATGAATTTTAGTGAAATTTTATATATTTAATTAATTTAAATATACATGTAAGGATTCTTATTTTTATGTACATTTTAATATAAAAATATCCTTTTCAGAAGTGAATTTATAAATTAGATTTTATGAGATAGAATTTCAATAACTTATATTATATTATTAAGGATTTTAAGTGATTGATTAAATCTATTGAACTATTTAATTAGAATTATTTTATTTTTTTAGTTTTTCTAATTTATTTATAAAAATAATTATATGTTAAATTAAATTTCGAGATCAATTTTTTAAAAAAGATATGTTTTCTCTTTTATAATTTAAGTAACCTCTATTGATATTGCTAAATTTTAAGAATCATTCTAAATTAATTTAAAAAAAATTCTTTTTAACATAAATGGCATTTGAAAGCTTATTAGAAATTAAATTCTTTGAGTGCCTATAATAAAACTAGTTTTAATTTATTTGTATCAATATTTTTTATCAAAATTCAAGGTCTATTAAATGAAAAAATATTCAATAATTTAAATTATTATAATTATGCATCCTTCCATCAATAAAACAAAGTAAATCTTTAAATCATTCTAAAAAAATATTTAGGAATGATATTTTAAATAAAATATAAATAGTACCCAATAATAATAGGCATAATCAAATTAAATAATGGGTAAATTGGAAAAACCAAAAGGATAAAATAATAAATTTTAGCAGTTTTTGATGATTTAATTATTATCATAAAAATAAATTCATAAAATAAAAGTTTTTTTATAAATCTATTTGAAATGTTTCTTAAAGATGAATATATATAAAATATAAAACAATACAAAAATGAACAGATATGTTTAGAACTTTATTAATCAATAATCATTATTCATTTTCCTTTTTTATATCATTCTTCTTAACATCATTTTATTATTATGATGATGTAGAACCGTTTTAAAACATTTACATATTCATTTGTTAGTGCTTTAATTATGAAAACATCTAAAAGTTAAATGCATTTTTATTTTAACTCATATTCATTAAAAACTATAGAGAATTTGCAGATAAATTATTTTACTATTGAGATAAGAATTATTATTATTGGCTAGGTTATTCTTATTTAATCTATATAACATTAGCTTTTTTTTATTCTCCTGTAATTTATGGCTAATTATTATCCCTATTTCCTACAATAATTAATCTGAAATACTTAATTCTTCTTCTTATTCTTATTATAATCTTTACACAATTTCGGTTAAAATATTAGAGTAATTAGCAAATCTTTGTTAATTTTTTGATTGCATATTTGACAGTTCTTGAGTTAATTGTTGACTTTCTTAAAATAGTGTTTCATTTTATTGCATAATTTATTAAAGTGCTATTTACAATTATTTTTAACTGTCCGCTATAGCTTAAATTTCATTTTTTAATTCTTTTTGAGCTTTTTTAAATTGTTCAATTTCATCAACAATCTATGGAATTTCCTAAGATTCTTAATATATATTTAACATCTTTATCATCATTTTCTTCTTAATTTCTTCTTTTAATGTTAGTCAATAAAGTTCTTCCATCTCTTCTAAACCATTTATGCTCAAATTTTTAATTTACATCATCAGCTTTACTTTTTTTAAAATTATACATGTTTAGTTGTCTAAATCTTAGAATAAAAATTCACCTTAAAAAGCTTGGATAATTTTTATGTTTGAAATATTTAGGTAATATTTTATCAGCAAGCAATTATTAATTCCTTACAATAAAGGCATTACCTTCAGTATTCCATCCAATAATCTCTTTTAGTTCATCATTCTATTTGAGTTATTAGATTATACTTCCATAATATCGAAGAGTCTTACTAAAAAGGAAGGCACACTTCCTTTTTGTCTTTATTCTGAACTCTAACTTTATGAATCTTAGAAATTATCGCTACTTTCTTACATTTTATATTAAAAATATTATTGTTTTGATTTTAAGTAAAATTAATATATGTATTCATAACAGATATCTTAATAATAACCATGAATATAAATTAACCTTTTGCATCTTATCTAAAACAGAAATAAATTAGGATTAAATAAATATTTTTTGATTCTTTTTTAAAGATAAATTGTTTTAAATTTATAGACAATTATCATAATTCCTAATGTTAAATTTTTAAAATGGAAATAAACAATCTATTTGGAAACGTTTTTAAATTAATAATTTCAAGGAATTAAGAATATTTTTATATTTCTTTTACAAATTATTTTCTTAGATAAAATTTTAAATTATTCTTGGTGATTAATAGTTTTTATAATCTTTATATATCTTCATTTAATTATTTAAGAAAATATTTGATTTGAGTTTTTTCTGTTAATCAATTAATACTTTGAATTCATTTTAAAAATCATTTAGAATTCTTTTTGGCATTAAAAAAATTATTCAAGGATTTGCTCGAAACTGACTACAAGAAATTATTATAATAATTATTTTAATGAATTTGAGGAAAGTTTCTTAATAATCATATTTTTTAAATAAAGATTCTAAGCCTTAAAATTAGAAAAACAAGGTTGCTAATTAGAAAAAAGTAAAGTCAATATATGAATATGAAAAATAAAATTTGAAAGAGTAATTTGAATAAAATCAAAGTAATCATCAAACTTAAATAAATCAAGAGACGAATGAGATAACTGTTTCTGATTTTGAAACATCTTCACATTTGGAGAAAAAATGTAAAATTTACATAATTAAAGTAATTAGCAATCCAAGGGTTAAAAGAAAACATTTTTCACCAATATTTAGAACAAATAATATAACAATAGATCATAATACTTCTAAATACTAATTATCTTTATCAAGAGATAAGTTATTGAGTAATGATGTTATAAGTTTGTGGGATTCAAATTAAAGAGAAAATAAATAATCTTACAATAGTTTTTAGTTTGAGGATAAATAAACATTAATTAGCAAAGGTTCAAAGAAAAAGTTAGAGAATGGGATTTAATTTTAGAAATAATTAGATGAATTTCTTAAGATAAAACACTAAAACACATAAACAACTTTCGATTGTACCAAACTGAAAAAATTGGAAAAAAGAAAACTTTAAATTAAAATTAACATTGAATATTAGATTGATTAAAGCATTGATAAATAAAACAATGAAAAAGAATGCTAATTTAATAATATGGATGGTCAAAAATAAGAGATATATACTTAATTAAATAATTTGTAAGAATAAAAAGAAAAATAAAATTCAAAAAGATCAAGTTCTGTTAAAAGCAATCCTTTAATTCCTATCCATATAAGATATTAATATGAGAAAGAATATAAAGAGGCAATATAAAAATCTAATGAAAAATTGAATGAATAATAATATAATTAAAGTATAAGTCTTTATTAATATTTAAGAAAAAAAGGTAAGTAAGGATTAAATAGAAGAGTTTTTTAAAGAGCAATAAAAGTTTATTAAGAAGAGAGCTCAATTTTTTGAAAAGGAATTTGAAAAAAAACTTTGGGAAGTTTCTTAAAATGAAAATGAGTTTCTTTATAAACCAGTACTTAATGAATAATCAACTCGAGTATTTCTATAAAATTTTATGTTAGATTTTAGATAAGAAATTAAAAGGAAAGAATTTTGATTAAAGAATAGAGCAATTTTAATAAAATAGATAAAATAAAATATAAGAATAAATTTAGAGTATGATACCGTCATTCACTCCTACAATAAGTAAAAAGTCTAGAAAAGTAATAATTGAATATTATATAAGTTAATGGAAAATCCAAAATAAAGATTAACATTATCAAACAAAAAGGGATTTTAATAATAAAATTTGAGAGTAAAGACTTAAGAAGAATAATGATTTAATTGAAATAATATGAATTTATATTTTTTTGATTCATTTATTATTAATTCAAAAACTTTTTGCTGATGGTATAAAAAGATCTTTATGAAACACAGGATCATTAATAATTTGATCTATATTCCATCTGTTTTATGTATTTTTTTCTAAACACCCATTTATAACTCTCATTATATTTTCATTAATTTTTTTATCTTAATTAGTTTTTAGTTTTTAACACTAAATTTAGCGATATAAATCTTTATCATTTTATCCTTTAAAAGGATATTCTCCTGTTAACATTTTGGATAAAAGAATTCCTAATGACCATATATCTGAACTAGATGGATGATGGGGAATCTTAAAAAAATAATTATAAAACATACTTTTGCTATAATTTCTGGAGACATATAATGTGGTGTTCCACAAAATACATTTGTTTTTTGATTTTAAGGCATACAAATTGCAAAACCAAAATCAATTAACTTTACAACATTTGTTTTCATCATCAATACATTATCTAACTTGATATCACGATGACAAATGTTTAGATCATGCAGATATTTTATTGCTATAGCAATTTAATAAAATAAATTTAAGCATTCTTTTTCTGGTAAAATTCTATTTGGCTTAGACTTTATGTACGAAGCCAAAGATTATGAAGAAATATATTCCATGACTAAATTTATCTTATAATAAAATAATGTACTGATTTTTTATCTTCTATTGCCCAAAACAATTTTATTATGTTTTAATGTTCAATTCTTTTCAATATGGATATTTCTCTTTTTACATTATTCATTTTCTAAGAATCATTCAATTTTAATTTTTCATAAATTTTAATAGCATACTTTTCCTTAGTATTTTTATCAATGCCCAATCTAACCATTGCAAATGATCCAGATCCTAGTATAGTTTCTAATTTAAAATTTCCCATGATCATCTCTTGATTACATAATTAATTTAAATCTAAGGTACTTTTAGGTTTTTATGTTTAAGAACATTTCTCAATTATTTGTTATTATTATTCTATTTTTTCTTTTTCTTTATTTTCTTCAATTCGCTTTATTCTTGGAATTATACCTGATAATGCTGAAAAAGGTCTCGGTTATTAAATTTTTTTATTTATTGATGAGCTCAACTATCTTTCTTATTATTATATTCCAGTATTTTAAGTTGTATTTAATGAAAAATGTTACCCTTTTTAAGTTTTCCATTAAGAACATTCTATCTATTATATGAAAAAATACTATTAATTTAGTTTTCAATATTTTTAAGAATCACATCAGCTTGTAGTTTAATACTATTTAAATCATAGATATTTATAGTATCGGTTTTATTTTCTAATTTTATCGCTATTATTTGTTACATTTGTTCTTTTCGATATTAATTAAAAAGGATTGAGTTATAGAGTCATTTGATTCTGATTTGTTAAGTTTCATTTACTTTAACATTTTTGATTATTTTGAAAATTAATAATGATAACGATAATTCAATAAATAAAAAAATAAAAATTTTAACCAATTAGTATAAAAAATAAATAAATAAATACCATTTAATTCATGATTTATTCATTCCTACAAACTATCTGATCTAGATGAAAATATTCTATCAACTAATTTAATTTATGCTTTTTAATTAACAAAAGATTTTGATGAATGTTTTCTAGGAACTGAAGTTGTTGTTTGTTAAGTAAATATTCCATAAGGATCTTTAACTTTTATTGTTCTCTTTTTTTCTTGGCTATTAGATATTTTCTATATTTAAGAATTGTTTTCTAATTGATTAGCATTTTAACTATTATATTAAAGAAGACTTTATTTTTTAATAGGTTTACATGATTCATATTGCAAAGGAATAAATTAATTACTCGATTATTTTATATTCTAATCAAGAAAATTAAAAATTGTATTACTAATTTCTGTTACATCTTGAGTACTTTATTAAGTACTTTACTTTGTACTTTATTTAGTGCTTTGTTAATTACATAAATTTTCTTTATTAGAATCTTTGATTGAATGTAATGTTGTTTTTCTTGATACAGGATTCTTTTAAAGAAGCTTTGTTTTTTATAATATTGTTTTAATTGCTGCAAGATTTTGTTGAGGTAAAGAATTTTCTCTTCTTCTTTTCAGCATTTATTACTTACTTTTAACTACTTCAGGATTGAAGAATTGAGCAGTCTTTTAAAAAGGATCCTATTTGCCAAAACTCTATTCAAAAAAAAAATTCATTTCAAATTTAATATTAGTTTATTATTAACAAATAATTATATTTGAAGAAAATTAATATTTTTAAGATTAACACTAAAATCAAATAAAATGAAATTGGATTATTCTTATAGTAGATCATTAAATAACATCTTATTTATTGATATTTTATAAAAGATTATCTAATATTCTTAAAATCCTCTATTTTTAACATAGTTTTGAAAAGAAAGATTTAATTTTAAGTTTTTCTTCTTATTTTTACTAATGCTTGTGTCATTTTATTCTAAATTATTTTCAGTGATATTTTTCCAATCAAATAGTTCTTTAATTTATTCATTATAATAAATTTGGTGGCTGATTTCGCTGGCAATTCTAAGATTTCTTCCAAATTTAAAATACTCTCTTGTAAAATATTATATATTCATTTATGGTTTTAGATCATTAATCTCTTGATTCAGGTATTTAAGTTTTAAATTTATATTAAACTATACATATTGTTCAATTCATTCTTGATCATTATTTGTGAAAATCTAAATTATAATTGATAAATTACTTAAAATGATATCCTCTTAACATTTACTGATTTTATATAAATTAATAAAACATATTAATTTCCTTAAGAATTATCTTTTGCTGTCCTATTTAGAGAATTATTTTTTAACTAAACATGAATATTAATCCGAAATAAAGGTCTTTGATTATTTATTAAATTATTTTTATAGCGGACCTTCAAAAATGATTTCCATTTTTTCTCTAATTATTATGAATTTTTTAATCCCTATTTTAGTTTCTTTATGACACATTGAATATCAAGAATCCATTTTTAAATATCAATTAGTTATGTAGAAAAGAATTAATACTTAAATTCATTATATTCAAATTTTAATTCATAAAAGAGCTATTAATCGTACATTTTATTTATTCATTCTATATTTTATAATTCTGTTATAGAGATTTTTTTAATAAAATTACTTTTACCATTTCTTTCATCATATGTAAAATAGTAGATAATATTTAATTAAAAGGTATCAAGAATATCTGCTCAAATAAAACCTTAATATCAGTTTCCTATTCTGTTATATAGATAGATGATATCATAATAAATCATCTTTTCTTTGCTAGATTTTGTACTTTTGCCTTTTTTCATTAGAAATCCACAAATAAAAATTGATCTAAAGTTCTTACTTCAAATTTAATAAGATTTGATTACACCATCATTCTTGAAATCATTTTTGTAAAACTATTATATATAATTGATTTTTCTCGACTTTAAGTTTAATAATTAAGTGATTGTTTCTTTATCAAATTCATCCTTTTCGATCGGATTATTATCTCCTTCAAATTATTTATGATATTCTACAAATATAAAATACTTTCAATCAAAAAATTAACGTTATGATGCTGTATAAGTTTTTAATTAGAATTAACGATGTCTAAAAGCTAAAATAAATACTGTATCGAATCCTTTTACACTGGCAATTTAGGAAATTGAAGTCATATTAATTTAATCTTAATTTCTAGGATATCAATACCTTAAAGCTTATCTCTAAGAAGAAAGGGGTTTCCTATTTCAATATTTTATCCTTCATCTCTCATTGAAAAGTAATGTTTTTATAGCATTTTATAAGACAAGGACTAAATTTCTATATTAATCCATTTAATTGGTATGCTTTGAATAATTTATCATTCAATATTATAATTTATCATTCAATATTATAATTTATATAGATGGAAACAGTTTCTTAACACATCAAACAACTCAATCAAAAGAATCAAGAACTTTCTGTCTTAGAAAACAGAATTGTTTAACTTAAATAACAATTAAATTTACAATAAGCAAACAATAATATTTTAAAGTCTAAAGTTGATAAGATAGTTCATTCCAAAAAATAAAAGTTTTATGATTAAATGAAGGTAATCTCATTACAAAACAATTTAGCTTAAATAGATACTATCAGATAATACTGTAAACAATGATGGTGTTCAGTATTTGATTTAGAGAAATAGATTGCTATAAAATGAAGAACTAAGATAAACTAAACAAGATATGTTAGAAGAGAAGTATCTTCAAACTTAATAGATGAAATAAAAATTAGATTTGTAGATGCTTTTAAATTAAAAGAAGAGAGATCAATAACTATTAGAGAAATAGCAATCATATGCTAAAGTGATCAGAATTATATTATTTAATAGATATCTGAATGGGAATTCAACTTAAAATTAGATCTTAGATAAAGATAGATTGATAAAATAGATAAAATTAGATCAGAAGAGAAGGAATTTAAAGAAAAATTAGCAAATAGAATGTAAGAATAATAGTAACTTTGTGATTAATTGTAAAATGAAGAATAAATATTATTGAGGTATTTTAATATTTGTTAATTATAAAGCAAATTAAGAAATTCTTAACAATTTGGAAGTTCTCTAAAGAATGATTTAACAACTGCTTTAAATTTAAGTATCAAAGAATATAGCAATAATCTTAATACATCAATTCCTGCTCATATAAAATCATATAGTTCTTAAAAATTACCAAAAGAATAATAAAATAGTCCTTATGCTTAATTACCTACAATGCTTTAAATGAAGATGAGTACATAAATTAATAAGAGTAAAAATAATAATGTTTCATTTCGAGAATCTCAAATGAAAGAATATTAATTTTCTCTGCCTTCTCTTTGTAAACCTACATTTGTAGAATAACAATAACATGTAGATAGATTATATTAATCAAAAACAGTAAAGAATAGTAAATCAGATTTGTAATAAATACTTAATTATTGTGATTCCTAAGGAAAAATAGATTAGAAATCAAAATTTAGAATAAATTCAAATGAAGTAATATAAAATTAAGAGAGTAATTCATCAATAAAAGAAAATAAATAGAATTAAAAAGATTAACAATAAATAAAATAATTATCATCAAATGAAATCAAAAATAATAATGAAGAAGAATCAGATAATCATCAGAATTAATAAGAAGAATAATAATGATGATATGTATTTATTAAAATTTTAATAAAATTTAATATCAGATTTTAAATCATTAAAAGATCCTATTTTATAAAATCAGAGTTCAACTAAAATATTTAAGAAGGACTCATCATATTAGGTCTTTGAATGTTTAAAATTGATAAAGTTAGATATTCTTTCAATTTTCAATAAAATTGACAAGCTTTTTCATAGCTTTTTCAGCTGAGAATGCTCCAAAAGGTCCATCACCACCTAATTTAGAATGAATTTTTTCTGATTTTCCATCCTTCCTTGTGATTGTTATTTCCATTTCACCTGTTATTTTATCTTAAGACTTGCTTGTAATTTCAGCTTAAGGATATAAAGATTTGATATATTGTTAAGCTAAATTGGATTGAGACCAATACCCTCATCCTCCACAATATGTAATGTGTACTAGATAATATTAAAATAAATTACCTTTAAATTATTTATCTTTAGAAGTTTTAAGTGTTGAAATATTCTCTGGCAATTTGTTCATTAAATAATTAAATAATATCTTTTTATAATATAAATTCACTTAAAAGTGTTAAAAGGTTTATCAAAAATAATTAAAAAAAGTTTAAGAAATTTTAATTGATTTGGACAGATTTTAATGATAATGATTTTGCAACATAGAAATTTATGATTTATATTGTAATTTGTAATGTATCAAGCTACAAGTATGCAAACCCCTCCAACTGCTTTAATTCTTCTCTCTGCAGTTTTGCTAAAGAATTTGGCTTTAACAACAACTGGTTAATTTGGAAGTCTACCTTTTCCAAGAACTTTAAAATATCCAGCTTTGGTGACATCAATAACAGCAGCTTTATCCTTAGATTTAGAATATTTTTCTCTTGTTTCATTAGTGACAAGTGACCATAATTTATCAATATTCAAAACAGGTCTATGAAGTGTATTTTTTTTCAAATGGAAGTGTCTCATACCGTTCTATAGGAGGAATAGGAGTAGATCTGTACTTTTTGAAAATATCCTGGATGGTATTTATTGAAATTGATTCGATGATGTGTTAAACCTCCTGAAACACCTCTACCACTTGGATGTTTTCTGTGTTTACCAACTCTACCATAACCATGGCATACATGTCCTCTCATTTTTCTACATTTTCTTAATCTGCTAACCATTATATTATATTTAAAAAAAAAAGATTTTAATATATGATTAATGCTCTTATTGAACATATAATAGGAAATTTAGATGTAGTAATTGATTATCAATAAATGAAATATAACACATAGAGTAGATATAATATAAAATGATTAAATAAATAATAAATAATGTAAAATGATGCAATGGATTATTTGACAATCTTTACATCATTAACAATATTCAAAGCCTTTTGTTCTGGTGTTCATCGATATAAAGTTAATCAGATGCCAACTTCACATTATGAAACCGTAAATTTGTGATCACAATTTTATTATAGGAATCTACTTTGGCAACTCTAATGAAAATTCAGATGCAATTCAATTTTTTACTACTTCATTGTACATTGTTTTTCAAACACTTAGAAAATGTATAAGATACAGGAAAATTCAATATATTCTTATTGATTTCAACTTGTTTATTTGCTTTAACATTATTATTGACAGATTATAGATGGCTATTGAAAATTTACAGATATGAAAATCATATACTTAGAGAAGATTATCCTATAATAGAGTTTTTAGGAATCTAAATATTTATGATGTTTGGATGTGCTTTACTAATTACAATTTAATGGTTCACAATTCCAATTTTATCAGATCTTATGTATCAACTATTATTTATATACAAAATGCCACAAATTATTAAATGTCATCAACATAATTAAATTCCTAATGTTACATATTTCTGTTTTCTTGAAGATTATTGCATTTTAATTTTTTTCTCATATTATCGAGGTTGTCCAATCAATATTTTCAAACTATAAGATAACTTGGGAATCTGTATTAGTGTTGCTATTTTAATATGCATTCAGCAATGCATTCTACTCTATCAATATCATGTGAAACCAAAATTATACTAAATGAAGACATAAGTAGAAGAATTTGCAAACTAAATAAGGGAATAAAATATTTATTAAATTTTCGATGATTTAGGGATTAATAATAACCTTGAATGTGCTATTTGTCTTCAAGGTATAGAAATTACTAATTCTTTATAAATTTAACTTCATCCTTAAGATCCAATTGTTTTAACAAGATGTTCTCATAAGTTTCATGAAAGCTGTCTTATTGTTTGGCTCAAAGTTAAAAAATAATGTCCTGTTTGCAGATAATAATTCTGATTTATTCAACTTTATTTTAAGTTTAACATTATATTTTATTCTTAATTATGTGAAACTATTTGCATTTACTCATATATTTATATTTAACATTTCATAATATTCAAACCACTGTATAAACTAAAGTCCAAGTTAATAAAAATTCACCTATTGATGCTCCTAAACCTTCAGTATATATTTCTGTATTCTCTATTTTATCTTCATCAACCTAATTCTATTGAATATTTTACTTATTTATATTTAAAGACATAATAGTATGAAAATCCCATTGATATAAATAAAAATCCCAAAATTGTCAATATTCCTTATAAATGTAAAAATCCCGCTGTTAATCCTAAAAGAACTGAAACTACTTGTCTCACAAAGAAAAGTGCTGTTTTTATTTAACCTGAACTTGCTTAATCATTTGTTGATAATGAAAAACTCAAAAATTCACCTATTGACTAAAATCCTTCCTTTTTTAAAGGCATTAAATAATATATATATAATTAAAAATTAATCTAATATGGGAAGAATTATAATTGAATACCTTGAAGGTCAAAAAATTTATGCATGCAAAAAATGCAATGTACATCTTTCAAAATCAAATTACTTATTTTCTAAAGTAATTCCATGAGTTTAAGTTTTAGTAATTCACAGGAACTTCAGGAACAGCCTTTCTATTTGATAAAGGGTAAAAGTCTTATTGATTATTAAAGAGTTAATTATTTAACAGGAAAACCAGAAGAGAAAAGGTTAAGAACTGGTTTACATACTACACAAAATATTATTTGTATTAAATGCTAAACTTATCTCGGATGGAAATATGTAATTTCATCAATTACAATATTTTAAGCTTTATGCTTACGAATAATCTGAAAAATACAAAGAAGGTAAAATCATTTTAGAAAAATTGTTTTTAAGTAAAATTAAATGGAATTGATGTCTAATATGCTTAAAATATGTTAATTATAAATTTAATTATATCATTCTATCGATAAAACTCTTTTATTCATACTGTTATACTTATATTAATGATAAAAATTTAATCCTATATTAATGATATTAACACTTAATATCTCTAAAAATGTTGTTTAAATTTACTATAATTCTAAGATTGATGTAATTACAATAGTTATTTATAAAATAGAATAAACTAATGATTATCTAAGTGAATTTGCAATTTATCTAAGAACCTCATTTTTATATTGCCATTTGCAATTCCATTAAGGATTTTTATTTAATTTAGAAGTTTGAATAATGAAAAATATGTAATTTAATCCACAAGATATCCAAAATACTATTTTTACAGATAAGTGATCTTTTTTATACTGTTAGTATTTCAAATCAAATGTTATGTATGTTTTAAGTTATAATAGGCAATTTACTTACAATATTATTTAATAGATCAGTAAGGATAATGACAAAAAGGCTAGGTCAAACAATTAGTATATTAAAAAACTACAATAAAAATATATTCATTACTAAATAAAGATAAAAATGCCAATTCCATTTTCTAAGACAGAAAATAATGAAAAAAGAATAGTTTTTGATATGCTTGAATAGTTTTAAATCTTAACGATTAAAGTAAAAAGGCAAATTAAGAATATAATTAAAAGAATACCAGGAAAATTGTATTTTAATTTTAAGACCTAATTAACTGTAATCGAACCAACTTTTTGCTCAGTCTGATTGTTAGTTTAATTAGTAATATTTTCATTTATAAAATAATCTTGATTAACACATTAATTTAAATAGAGATCTAAATTTGAATTGCATTCTAAACATATTTCTTAATCCAAATACACACATTTAGTACACTGTCCTATTGAACAAGGATAACATTAATGATTTAATCCATAATAACTTATTGGACATTCATTAAAACAAGAAAAATTATGTAAATATCCAACTTTGCAAATTGTGCATTTCTCAAAACTTTCACATTCACTACAATCAGTTGAACAATATAAAGATATAGTTTATTTAAAATTTCCTTACTATTTAATAATTCCTTAATAAAAGGTTGTAAGTTTATATGAGAATTAATAGATATATTAATTTTTAACTGTAAAAAATCTAAATGGAATTTCTAAAAATTTTTATCCTTCTTAAGTGATTATGACAGACTAATTCTATTGTTATTGACAATTTTCACAAAAAATTATAATATTACCATCATACAGAATCTAATCTACCTTATCTTATAATGAAAATCTTAATAATGCTTCTTTCATTTATAAAAATTTATAATCTATCAAATTTATCATAGAATTTTAAATTAATTAATATTCCCAATCTTAAAATTAAGAAATGAAAATAGCTATCTAATTTTCTTATTTATCTACTAAAATAAATTACCATTCTATTAATACAGGTTTTATTGGATTCTTAGGTTAAGATATAAGAAGTCGCATTACTTATTTTTTTTAGATAGGTGGTAAATTTATTATTTTACTATTACAATCAAATTGATTTTAATTTATATGTAAGATTTAACATTTGAGAGGTTCATTCATCAACAAAGAAGATGGATAAATAATTTTCAATTTATCTGATTCTAAAACATCACATGGTAATTCAAAAGTAAATAACCATTAATTTAATTAATTTAATTTTTTAGTAATTACTTCAGGAACTATTTTGAATTTATTTGGTTTAAATAATAATTTTTATTCAAATTAACTCTTCTAACATTAATTTTCATATGTTTAAATTATAAAATTTGATTCTTTTGCTAATCTAGGTGTTTCTATACCTTTTATAATAACATCTGTATTTTTTAATAATTAAATTGTTGAAGAATCTAATTTTAAGCAATTTTGGCAAGTTATATCATTTAAATTAATTGATTTTTCAAATTAAATTTTAATTCCAAATTCACTTTTTAATGATATTTATAGATTAGATTTACTTAAAGTGAATTCATTACTAAAACTTATTTATTAAACTTAAATTATTTAATTTGGTTATTAAATAAGTATTACATTTTTGTATAATTACTCTCTAAATTAATTATTTTAATAAGCCTACGATTCAAATCTATTTGTCTAACAAATAGTAGATGGATTTTTTATTCTAAAAGTAAATTAAAATGATTATCCATTTAAATTTTTAGACAAACTAGGAGTCAGATTTAATTCTTATGGAAATTGAATATGGATCTCACCATTTATAATAGGATTTTACAATTCAATATTTATATAGAGATTGGTTTCTTCATCTACTATTTCAGTATCTCTAGTAACTATAAAGTTCTTATATTCATTTGGTTATATAGAATATATAAAATTTCCTTTTAAACTTGGGCTAATTTTATTAATTTAAATAGAGAATGTCACATTTGACTTATATTCTAAATTAATAAATTATAATTCAACCTTTACTTTAAATTAATCTAATTATTGATCATTAAATTAACTTATATAAATTACTTTATCATTCTAAACAAATGATTATTTTATATCATTGATGATTATTTATTCGATTAGTAATTTTTATGATAGAGTTATTTAAAGATCTGATTTAGAAAGTATATATTGTTAAGAATCTAAAAATAATTTTAAAAGAGTTTATTAAGCAGCATAACAATTTGTACTTGCTAAAAGATTATAATTTAAATTTACTTTATATTATTCTTTCAATTTCTGCTGGAGCATATGCACTAAAGGTAAATTAGTCTTCAGCTATTTTATTTTGTTCTTCAAAAATTTTAAGATTGGCTGTATATATTTCTAAATTAGATGGGAATGAAAAATTATGAATTATAAATGATTGCTTACTTTCATTATAAAGGAATTCTCTATCTCTATTTTAAACATAAATTATATTGCCTTTTGATCTGCAGAATTAGTTTTATGATAAACCTATAAAATCTGAACAGGAAATATAAAGACTTGTAAAAACTGGAAACTCTAATTAAATTTATAAGTCTACAAACATTATTGGCATTTGTAATAGGCTAAAAAAGTCCAATTCAAAAGATAATTAAATACTTGATCTTTCAAATGTAACACCTTTTCCTAATATACTAGATTTCAATTAAATGCCCTTTATTTCTATTACTAAAAATATAGTTAGCATTGTTTATCCATTAAAAATACCAACTTATATATTTTTTTATCCAGGATTTGATGGATTTATTATATTAGTTAAGATTAAATCAAAGGAAGAAACGTATGAATCATCCGAAGTATATTTAATAATAGGAGGTTCAACACTTATTTGATAATTACTACTAGCAGTAAAATCCTTATCCCTCATATCAAATTCATTAAAAGTTATTCCTATAAACCTTGTAATTTTTGCTTTCCTTGTTTCCGATAATATTAAGTTTAAATTAAGATCATTTTAAGAGTTAATCATTTCATTACTATAAGTAAGTAAAACATCAATTCCCTATTCACTTTACCTCAACTCAAATTAAGTTGCCTAAAAGATTAGGATAGATAGAAGTATTAATTTTTATATCATTTATTAGTTAAACATTATGATTTATAACGAAATCCAATTCTAATATTTTAACTATTTATTTTTAGAAAATTTCCACTCAAATATGACTTTTTTCACTAAAAATAATATTTATATAAATATATTATTTAAATAATAAGAATTATATTCATATAGTAGTTGTTTTATTTTATTGATCTCTTTCTCATTTTGCTTATAGATTATTTATAAATCAAATATCTGGTTTTTCATACTAACATTAATATGATTAAGTTAAAACTATATAATTAAAACAAATATTAAATTTATCAAATATATATACAATGATGCACTCAAAATTTTAGAAAGAAATATTGCAATTTTATAGATCAGTGATAAAGTGGGCTAACCTTAAGCCAGAGCCTGCAAGATCAACAATTAAGTAGTATGCTTAAAATGAATACAGAAAGAATTAAAATATTCCTAAAAAGAAGTTTGATAGAGTATTATTTATAAAATATATTAGATTGAATTTCTCTTTAGATAAGGAAAGAATAAATATGAAATATGGAAAGTAAAAAATTATAATATCATATTAGGATGCAAAAATTGACCAAATATAAATCAAATGATTTATAGTAAAAATTTATCATATTTTCATGACTTACTTTTTTTGTTTTTTTCTAAAACTTAACAAGGTTTATCACATTCTGTATGTATACAATGATGACGTTTAACAACTTACTTACAACATTTGCATTCTTTTTCCTTTGATTTTCTTCTCTTTCTTGTTTTTCCTATCTAAGAATCTGATTAACTATCTAATTAAAAATCGTCTTCCTTAGGCATCAAATCTTCTAAATTTACTTGAACTGGTAAGTCAGCTATAAAATAGAATTTTGTATTTGAAATACGTGAATTCTTTACTTTAATTACATCTAAAAGTTTCGTAATTTAATCATTTGGTAATCTTTCAAAAATCTTAATCAAATCATCACTAATTTTTCTTGATATTTTTATTTATCCACTATCATCATTAAGTTTGGCTTTCTTTTTTATTTATTCATTCTCACTATCAGATATATTTTATTGTATTTATTAATAATCTTTTTTCCTTATTTTTTAAATCTAGCAAATACTTATTTCCTTATTTTGAAGACTGAGAGTAAAACTCAGAGGAATCAGAATTATCACACATCTTTACTTATATAATTTTAATAAATAAATAATTCAATACATTTTATTTGCATTCTTAGTTAATTATTGATTTAATCATGACACCTTAATTGAGAAAAAATTGATTGCACAATTAATTAAAATAATAATTCCAATCTTAATTACAATTGAAGAATTAAATTTTTTTGTAATTAAACTAATTATTTCAAAAAATGTATAGAGTATCAATTTTATTTAGTGGACATACTTTTGTTAATCTTAATTAAATTTAAAAAGAATTAATTGAATTTAAGATAATTAATAAAGAACTATCACTAAAATCAAAATAAATTCAATATCTAAAGTATCAAATTTGAATATATCTTATAGTAGTAATTATTTAGATTTAATAAGATAGTATATGACAAAATTGAGGTGAATAATTAAAAATTCATTTTTTCACTTTATTAATCACTTTTATATATAAAAGTTAAGTTTTAACGATTATAATAATTTATTTAATATTAACAGAATGATCATTGAAAATCAAAGATGTTTTGGTAAAGAAATAGTAAATTCGACAATGCATTAATAAAAGGAGATAGGAATGATTATGGAAAAACATAAAAAACCTTTTTCGATAATTCCAAAGGTTTTTGCAATGAGTATGGATGAAAAAGAGAATAAAATATTTAGAAAAGAATAGGAAAAATGGTAAATAGAGATAGAATTAGACAAGAGTAAAGAGCTAAAAAATCCATAAAATGTAGAATTATATTCAGATGAGATTTTACAACACTTATTGATTGAAGAAGTATAATAATTAGACTATTATAGAATAAATACATAATAAATTAGTATATGACAATTGAGTAATAGCCAGATATAAATATAAAAATGAGAGCGATTCTAGTTGATTGGTTAATAGATGTGCATGCTAAATTTAGATTAAAGGATGAAACTCTTTATATTACAATATCTTTGATTGATCGATATTTAGCTTTGGCTTAAGTGACAAGAATGAGACTCTAATTAGTAGGAGTGGCAGCATTGTTTATTGCATGTAAATATGAAGAAATCTATCCACCTGCTTTAAAAGATTTTGTTTACATAACAGATAATGCATATGTTAAAAATGATGTCTTAGAAATGGAAGGTTTAATTTTATAGGCTTTAAATTTTAATATTTGTAATCCTACAGCTTTTTAGTTTTTACAAAAATATTCGACAGATTTAGATCCTAAAGATAAAGCGTTAGCATAATATATATTGGAATTAGCTTTGGTTGAATATAAATTTATTATTTATAAACCATCTTTAATTGCATAATCTGTTATATTTTTAGTTAAAAAGATTAGGTAAAACTTTTATAATTATTATAGAACACCTACTTATAAAACATAATATGAAAATTAATTAAAGATTTGTGCTAAAGAATTATGTGCATTACTTTAATCTGCAGATTTGACTTCGTTACAAGCAGTTAAAAAGAAATTTAATTCTACTAAGTTTTTTGAAGTTTCAAGAATTAAAGTAGAAAAATCAAATAAATGATATTAGTTTATAATGTGTTGTGTTTCTTTGACTTTTACTCAAATTATAAAATAGTAGTTATTAATTACTTATTAAATGAGTTTATAATAAAAATCATCTTGGGCATAATATAATTCACCTAATATACAATAGCCAAATAGTCCATATTCTGAATAGCTCTCAAGAAAAGATTAAATAGAAGAGTAATAGGATGTTATTGAAGAAAAATACTTTGTAAAGAAGGTTGGATCAAATTAGAATTAACGATTTGAAAGTGATTTTACAGTTCAAGATTAAGATAAACGTACTTATTTAGATTTAAATAAATAGGAAATATATTACATTAAACTGCATTAAGATAAGATGCTAGAATTCTTGAACTTTTAATATTAGATTATTAAAATCTACTTAAAGAAAATAAAAAATAAGAAAGATTAAGAAATAAGAGAAGAATCTCATCAATTTAAAATGATGAAAATGATGAAAATGATGATGAATAAATTATTGAAATAGATTTTGATATTGAAGATTATTAATTTTCAGAAATATAAGATTAAGTAAAGAAGTATGTTTAATAACCAGATATTTTTGGATGTACTCCTATTTAAATCTGTTGTTTTTTAAATGATTCTAAAAAAAATTAAAATAGATAAGAATGTTTGAAAATTTTAATTGAAAATGGATCAGATGTAAATGAAGTTAATCCACATAATTAATGGAGACCTTTACATTGGTGTTCATTTTATGGTGATAAATCTAGTGTTCAATTATTGTTATAAAACAAAGCCTATTCATTTTTATGTGATAATAATGGTTTTTACCCAATAGATTTATCAGGCAAAAATAAACATGTTTAAGTTCTAGAAATTTTAATAGAAAATCTAGTTGACTTTTTAAGTGACTGTTAATTATTTTGGAATGACTAATTGAGAGGAAAAAAAGAAGATGAATTTATTGAATTTTAAGAAATTTGCTTAAAATATGAAGCTGAATTATAAAATCCACTACTTTATACAAAAATTTTATTTTGGTGTTGTAAATTTGAATTTAATAGATTCATCATAAAGATTCTTTAAAGTTTACCTAGAATTTATATTATGTATCCAATTAAATCTTTAGATTCTTAAACTTGTCTCCATGCTTGTTGTTCTAGTAATAATTCAGAAGCTTTAAAAATGATAATTAAATTTGAAATATTGGATTTATCAAAAATGAAACCTGAATCAGGTTAATCAAAGAAATAATTAAAAAAAGAATTAAGGAGATAAGAATACTTTTGTAAACCTATGAACTAATATTTAGAGTAAATTACAAAAAATGAAATTCATGGAATAAATCTAATTTTATAAAAAAAAGACACTTAGATATATAAAGAAAGGTATTATCATGAACTTTAAAGATATTTATAATAAGATTAAATTTATAAACAAGAACTTGCAAAAATTAATTATCTAATTTTAAAATTGAAAGATTTAGAAACTTATGGTTTAGCAAAATAATTATTTTGTAGGAATGTTTTAAACATAAATGTAAAAGATAATCATGGAAATACACCTTTACATTTAGCATCTTTAAATGGGGATTAAAAAATTATTAAATTTCTTTTAAATAAATATGCTGACCCTGAAGCAGAAAATAATGAATTCTTTAGAGCAAAATAATTAACTAGAGATTTTGCAACATAATTATATTATGATGGTCTTATAAAAAAATAAAAATATATGATTGGTTAATCATAATTATTATAATCTTTTGAATTAATATTTTCAAAACATAGATAAAAGAAATCAAAAATTAGTACAAATTTTGAAGACTAATATAATTTAACTGAAAATATCAAATAGAAATCAAAATACTATAGAATGTAATTGAAAACTAGAAAATAAGGAAAAATATCATCTTAAAAAAAGAAATAAAAAGATATTTCTAAATTTGATTAGTTTGAAACTCCAGATCTTAGAACATCTACTGGAAAAGAAAAATCAAATTTAATTATAAAACCTAAAAAAACAAAAATACCCACAAATAAAATTATTCCTTTAGATTTAGATCCTTAAACAACAAATAAAAAAAAACCAAGAAATTAATATGATCAAGTTGAATAATTAATGTTATTTTCTATTTAATTATTTGTTCCAGATTTAGTAATAAAATTTGATTAATCTGTTTAAGTAAATATAATGGATTATTTAACATTAAATAAATCTTCCAAATCAGATGAATAGAAAAAGTTAATAGAGTAATAAATAAACTTTTAAATAGATCTTTTATCAAAAGCAGAGTTTGAAATTTATATGATGAAATCTTTTATTTCAGAAGATTACATCTATTTAATGTTAAGAATAAAGGAAGAAAAGTTGGAAAAGTTGGCATAAGAAATGGAAATGTAAATTAAGTTAATTGATTCTTATGATTTAGAATAATTTAAAATTAAACAAAGAAATTAATTTGAACCTTTTAGATCCAGTTAAAGATAGAAAATTGTATATGAACATTTAAGGAAATCAATAAATTTAGAATCATTACTAAAATCAAAATTAATACATTCATGTTATGCAATGCATACATCAGGTGGTATTTAGATAGTTAAAAAAGAATGGCAAAAATTATTTTATGGAATTATTCCATAACCAATTTGTTAAATAAAAGATTATTTAAGTGAAGGGAAAGGAAGGAACTTTACATCATTAACTACAATGAGATTATATTTTGGAGAATAAATTTCTTTCTTTTTTGCATGGATAAGTTATCTTACTTGTTTTTCTTTAATTATTGCAATACCAGGATTGATTCTTTAAATATATGTCATTATATATGACTTCTAATCTGAAATATTACCATATTGGGTATTGATTGTAACAATTTGGTCAACTGTATAAACAGAATTATGGAAAAGAAAAACTTCAGAAATTAATACAAGATGGGGTTGTATTGATTAAATGCTTTAAGCTGAATCCTCTTATTATGAAGGTCCTTTGAAAGATAAATTCTCAGGTGATGAAGAAATAAATAATATAAGTAAAAAATTAACAAAGCATCAACAAATAACAAAAATGGCAGCTTATTTTGCTATTTTTTTAGTTTTATTAGCTGTTTTTCTTTTTGGAAGTTTTGCTATTGTTTACGGAATAGATTTACTTAGAAGAGATGTTTAATCTTATAAAGGTGTAGTATTTTTACTAGGTGCTTTGTAGGCAATTTCTATTCAAATATTAAATATATTATTTCATTATTTCTCTAAATGGTATGCTGATTAAGAAAATCATAAATTTGAATTAAGTTATGAAAAATCTTTAATTTATAAGAATGTATTTTTTAGATTCATAAATTCATATATGCCTTTAGTATATATTATAGTTACTGGATAAGATTATGGTTTAGAAGATATTTTTTATTTTCTTATTCCATTAGTTCTTGTTAAAAAAGCATATTATATATTAATTGATTTTTTGATTCCTGCATTATTTATTCGGGCAAAAATAAGAATTTATTTTTAAAAAGTGAAAGAAGCTTATTAAACATAAAAAGAAAAGAGAAAAAACAATAATAAATAATTAAATTATTTGGATGAAATTGAATAATTTTGGATTTATGATGAATTCAAAAAAAATTATAATATATAAAATTAATCATAAGAAGATATGATTGAAATTTCATTTTTAGAATCTGCATCTAGAACTGTACTTAAAGTAGAAAGTGAGGAAATAATAGCGGAAAAGTTATTAGAACAAATTTAGAACCAAAAATTAATTTATCAACCTTTTGAAACAAAGATTGATACTGATGCTATTGAATTAAATTCATTTAAAGAAGATTTTGGAGGAACATTAGATTATTTTATGGAGGCTGTTACTGATTATGGATACTTTATTTTATTTTCAGCTGCTTTTCCAATAGGTCCTTTTATAGGGATAATCATAAATATAGTAGAAATTCAAATGAAACTTTATAAATTAATTTATATGACTAAAAGAATAAAAAGTGAAAGGATGCCTGGAATTGGTTAATGGTTAAATATTTTAGAATTTTTAAGCGCAATTGGTGTATTTACTAATTTTGTTTTATTATATTTTAAACATAAAGATGCTACTTTAAAGATGTTTACTAATGATATTAATTAAATTAAAGATTATGACTTAGAATTATGGTATTTTATAAGTTGTGTGATTGCAGTAACTTTAATAAAAATTCTAGTTAGAGAATTGATACCAGATAGGCCAGATTGGGTAATAGAAGAGATTGATAAAATAAATCACAGGGAATTGGTTGAACAATAAGAAAAAGCAAAATAAAAATTAAAGGAGATGTAAGAGCTTCTTTTACACTTAAGGTATTTTATTAAAAAATATATTAAGAGATGAAAATACTAAATTGGAAAAGGAAACAGATGAATAAGAAAATAAAAGTTAATTTGAAATGAAATAGTTGGATGCTGAAATAAATAAATTAGAATTGTAGTTTTAAAATATATCCAGATATAAGAAGATTGATAAAATAATAATTACAGAGTATGATATGATAGTATTAAATGTACTAAAAAATAGATATTATCAATTCGATAATATTTTATTGACAAAAAGATTACTTTAATTAATTGAAATGAGATCTTGTATTATTTAAGTTTGTTAAGAGTGTGGTAAAAGTCCAGCTATTCTTGAATGTTTAGAATGTTAAGAAAATTTTTGTGCATAATGTTATTAAAAGTTTCATTCTATTATTCGATAAATGCAGCATTAAGTAAAATTAAATGTGAAGAAAAATTAAATTTTAGAGTAAATTGAATTAAATGTGGTATAAATTGAAAAGGTATAAAAATAAGTAACAACAGAATTATAAAAATAATTAAAAAAATAAATAGAGGTTGCACATCCTAAAAGAAATTGGAAGAAAATAGAATATTTCTACATACCTTTATAATTACAAAGTGGATAACCAAAATTAAATGATTTGTATAAAGAATTTGGAGATTTTTATATAAAAAGTACAGGCTTAGAATTTAGAGACTTTACAATATCTATAGAAAAGATTCTTCCAGTTAAAGATGTAAGAATAGTTGATGATCCAACATTAAGAATAGAAGACAAAATTTTTTTGAATCGAATAGCTTTTTAATTATTTAGTAAAAAAAAGGATTCTGCTGAAATTTAATAATTCTTGAAATAATGTTAAATTCTATAAACAGGATAATTGGAATAAAGAATCTTTATGTTCTTTGATTTCATAGATATTAATGAAGATGAATAAATATAAAAGAGTGAATTAGAGAGTTTATTTTTAGTATCTTTTGTTTAGGATGTGAGAACAAATAAAAGAGTTTATGAAATAGTTGATTAATTCTTTACAAATAATACACAAGTAAGATTGAAAAGGGATATATCCTAAGAATTTTTTAATAAAATGAATCGAAGTGAAGAATTTCGAACATTTTTAGAAGCCTTACTCTAAGTATAAAGTGTAAAATGTTGATATAATAATAATAGAATGAATTAATTTTTGTAATATTAAGGATAATTTCTTAATAGATTATAAAGGTTATTATTTATTTTTGAGTACTAAATAAACCTTGAAACAAATAATATTGAATATATTTAATATAAAGATGAATTTCATCTTCCTGACCATGATGCAACTTATTTCTTGAATATAATGATAACCTATTCAATAATAGCATTTTCTTCATCTCTCTTAGCTTTGGCTTCTGCATAGTCTGCTCTCTTGTTTTCTAAATCAGATTAAGCTTAATCTAAAGCATCTTATGACTCTTAGAGAATAATCTTAGATTTAGCTTATTAGGCTAAGGCAGCTTGAATTTACTAAAGAGATTATTAATATCTTATCTTACAGTTGCCAATCTGTCTGCATATACTTATTTTCTTTCATATTCAACTTTGAGGTTGCTTACTTCAGCTTCACTCAATGATACCCATCCAGCTAATTCCCATGAAGCATTAATTTCATTAACTTCAAGAGCTTCAAGAGATGCTTATAAATTAGCTTCAAGTGATTCTAAAACAGATAATACTCTTTCTGCTAATGTTGCTCCTCTACTTACAGAACCATCTTCTTATTTGTTGGCCAATTAGAGGAATGATTTCAATTCTTATTCTTAGAATGTATTACTGTATTGCTTTAATTTATCAGCAACACTGTGAACTTAAACTAATTCAAAAGAATCTCCATTAATTATATATCCTGCAACATCTTATTTAAGTACTCTCACTACTTCAAGTGCTTCTCTATTTTATTTTATTGATCTAACAAATAATTAATTGCTAAGACACTATTCATCTAAAAGGACTTAAATCTTTCTTGCTATTTCATCTTATCTTTATTCATTCCAAGCTAGATAATTTTTTGTATCTTAGAGTTCTTATTCAAATTATGCTCTATTTTCAATTGATTATTAAAACAATTTTTAGTTGAGACTCTTTATTTTTGTAAATTGTTCGATTGTTCTAAAATTAATTAAATAATTACTGTGCTCCAACCCATTCATCTGTTTCATTCTTTTAATCAGCAGCAAATTAAGCATCTTTGTTTGATTAAATCAAATCATTCAATAATCCAAATACTGTATCAATAGCATCACTAGCCTTTGTTCCTGTTTGGAGGAGAGCAAGAATTTAATCTTAAGTTGATGTTGCTGATGCTAATGTGACCAACAATACAAGGGCGATTGCCAATTTCATTATTTTATTAATATACTCATAAAAACGGGTAATTCAATTAAATATCAATCCAAATATAATTATTTGTGTATTTTTATAAACCACAAATTTTCAATTATTTTAAGCATATTTTATTCAATATTAAACCGAATTCTTATCATTTCACTATTTAATCAAAACCTAATTAATTCCACTAACACCTACAAAATTATTTGTTGATTATATTTTAACTATTAAAAAAAGAGTGCTATGAATGATCGATTACTAATTTCTACAATGGAACCATCCAATAGTAATAGAATAATAAACTTTCTTAGTAGATTTCATGTATTTGAAAGAGAAATCTCATTATTTGAGAATCATCTAAAATATCAAGTCCTAAATGCTTAAGATATTGTAAATGTAATTATATTTTTTTGACTAATGGCTATGAACTTTTAATGAGTCATTAAAATTGTTGTTTTTATGTATCAATATTTATGAATATGAAGAATATTAATTATAAAATAAAAAATGAATTAAATTCAATAAGAGCTTAATGCAATTCCAACTAAAATATTTAAGAATGCATAATGGATTTCAAAATCTTTGAGTGTAAACAAACGAAAAAGTCCAAATTATCCATGTAAAAGATGGGGACATACAGCAGTATTGCATGATAAATATATGTATGTATTCAGTGGTTGTGGGAAATCTGATAATCCCAGATAGTGGGAATAAATATATAGGATGGATTGTATAACATTTTAGTGGGAAAGATTGAATTCACCATCATAAAAACACCCTACAGGTAGAGATTCTCATTGTTGTGTATGTTTATAAAATAAACTATATTTTTTTGGTGGATCAAGCAATGAATTAATTTTGGATGATTTTTGGAGCTTTGACATTGAAAGTTCTGAATGGAGTGAAATAGAGGTACCAAAAGATATGGAAGGGAGAGAAGGACATTCTATGGTAGCATTGTCATAAAGATTAATATATATCTATGGAGGATGGGATTAAGTATAAAACATAATGACAGAATCACATTGGTTATATGATATAAAAACAAATAAATTTTAATAAGTGACTCATTTCACTGGAGATGAGATGATAAAATTGGAAAGTCATACAGCAAATAAGATAGGGGATAGTGTTTATATTTTTGGAGGGTAAGGACAATAATCGAATAAACAATTAGTATTTCATAAAGATTTATACAAATTAGATTTTGAAAATATAAATGAATTACATGCTAAATTTGATTAATTGTTGTAATAAGGAGAAGATAAAGGGGAGAATATAGAAAATGATACAGTAATAAGGATTGAAAAAATAAAGGCAAATGGATCTTAATAGCCTACTCCAAGAGCATCACATTCTGCAGTTGCTTATGGAGATAGATTCTTATTTATAATAGGGGGAGAAGGGTATAAAATATATAAATATTATTATTATAGATATTAATATGATCAATAGAAAGATAATGAAGAAGTAGTGATTGAATAAGATTAAGATGATAACTAAAATATTGATGAAGAAGAAAAACCGATATTTCCAAAAAATGATATATGGATATTCGAAACAGTTATGAGAGTAAGTAAATTGAATAAATATTTAGACATGGAGTAAATTATAGCCAAAATCAAAGAATCCAATATTTTAACCTAGATTTTCACATAGTTGTATTGTTTATAAGGATTAATTTATAATTTTTGGAGGATTGAGAAGTATGGGGGAAGTCTTAGAAGATATTATGGTATTACATCTTAAAGATAGTGAAAATAATATATTAAAATATGCAAGAGATGAAATGAAAAATGTATGCAAATATTGTTAATTGATCTATGGTATTCAATAAGAGGAAGAAATATCGTATCATAAAACTAATGAAAATAATGCAATCAAATTACCCAAATTATCATTAACATTTGTTGACGAGTACTATACTTTTTTAAATATAATAGAATTTCTAAACTAATTCAATGTCCTATGTCTTGTTTTGGATTATTCTTAGACAATGTCAAATTATCTGAAGCTTCTGAAATCAATTTTGAATATGTATTCTTATAAAGAAAAAAGAAATACCAAAATACTGTTGATGAAATTAGAGATAAAATACCTGTTTTGATTCTTTTTGAGAAAGATCCTAAAGAATTAGAAGATTTGAATGATTTTCTCTTTAATTTTGACATATCCAAAAGAAAATGGACAACTGAAAATTAGAACATAGATTTAAAAAATGAAAGTGAGTAAAATTAAGTTTTGGAAGAGTAGTAATTACTTAATAGGAAATAATATGCTATGAATTTTAAAATTGCGTCTTTGAGATTAGGTGATAGTGTGTTAATCTGTCATAAATCATTTAATAATTATTACGTTGGATTGATATCCATGAACAATCAGTTGAATCCTAATGATGAAACCTTGACGTTCTACAATTATACTATTACAATATCTAATGGTACTGAAAGAAAGCTTGACTCTCCTGAAAGTAAATACGTATTACTTAATGCAATTACTCATTTAATCAATGAAGAAGACTTTATTTTAAATTGTAATTATAATTACACTAAAATATTTATCTTTGATTTGGTTCGGATACATACTTAATTAAAGATATTTGAACTCAGTTTATTTAATGATGATATAATCTCAAATCAATCTTTAGCATATGGCTTAAAAAAAGATGATGCAATTAAATATCCAGATTTTTCCTTAAAGGAATATCTCAAATATTATTCACTTGAGTCTTTACCATTTAAAGTATCTGTTCAGAATCAATACATAAATATGAATAATAATGTTTTAAGTAGAATAGAAAATAAAAATAAAGTTTCTGTAAGTAATGAGAAAATCGTTAATTAATTGAGTGAATGGACAGAATCTTATGAATTAAGTATACTTACATAAAATAATTTTGGGATTCTCCTCTATTATTAAGGTAGATTGATTAATAGATATAGAAAATAATTGGGAGTGTATCCAGGAAATCTAGATTAAAGTGGATATATAAATATTTAAAAAATAATTAAACCAAATATGACATTTGAGGTAAATAATTTGAATAAATCTTAGGGATTTAAAAATTCATACTTAAGGTGTATTTTACTATAAACTTTAGAAGAATTAGAGGAAGAGTGTGAACCAGAAAGAAGAAAGGAAATAAAAATCTGATGTTATTGTCTATATATCATAATAATAATTAATCGTAATCTTTTGGAGAAGTTTTGGAAAGTAAACAGAAATGCAATTTAATAAAGAAAATTTAGAAATGGTCAAGTAAATGAGTTAAAAATTTTGACATGTAGAAATTAGAATTTTTATCAAAATTTAGATTGTTTTATCCAATTAAATTACGTAATTTAAAGATTTGATTGATTTGGAAATACACACATTATTAAGGTAATTTATTTTGTTTGTTTGTTATGAACTAAAGTGAATAACTAAATATAAATGATGATGATTTAGTTACATCATCAGAAGATGAAGAATAAATCTCAAAGATAATTGAACACGCTCCTACAGGTCGTTTCTGCAAAGTATTTTATTATCATAAATGTTTTAGTATAATGAAGAGATTGGTAAAGGTGCATACAAAAATGTTTATAGAGGTTATGATAATGAAAGTGGATGTGAAGTTGCATGGAATGTATTTTAGTTAATGAATGTCTCTGAAAGTATAAATTATAACTAATAAGACGAGAGAAGAAGAGCTAAATAAGAAATTGCAATTTTGAAAAGCCTTCAACATAAAAATATTATTAGATTTGTACATTCATGGTAGAGTAAATCAAAGAAAGAGTTAGTTTTTATAACTGAGATTGTAAATGGAGGTTCTTTGAAAAGGTAATCTTTTATTGTTATTATATAAAAAGTTATATTCGCAGAATTACTAAGCCTAAATTAAAAGTAATACGTTGTTGGTGTAAACAAATTCTTGAAGGAATAGAATTCATGCATTCTCAAAATATTATTCATAGGGATTTGAAATGTGAAAACATCTTTATTGATACTAACAATAATGAATTAAAAATTGGAGATCTGGGATTGTCTATTTAGTAAATACACTTTATTAAATAAGAGAATGTAATCTCAGAATACAAGTTCCGTTTTAGGTACTCCAGAATTTATGGCTCCTGAAATATATAATGGTAATTATAATACAAAGGTGGATATTTATGCATTTGGATTGTGTATTTTAGAAATGGTAACTGGTTTAAAACCTTTTAGTGAATGTAAAGGAGGCACAGGATAAATCATTAAAAAAATTATGGAATCCTAAAAACCTTAAAGCATAGATGCTATTCAAAATGAAAAAATTAAAATGATAATTCTAGAGTAATTATATTAAATCATTTATAGATGTCTCAAACCATCAGAAGAGAGACCTACAGCTACTTAATTATTGAATTAATACTTTCTATCTACTTTTTTTGTGATGAAGACAATTTATCTGTTTCAATTAATGAGTCTATGCTTATTCAAATTACAAATGATAGCAAAAGTACTGTTTAATTAATACTTAGATTCCTCTGTTTTAAAATATATTCCTTCTAAAAATGTTAGTGAATAGAAAGGAACTAATAACAAAGTTTTAATTAACAATCCATCTAATAAAACATCTAATAAAATTAATTCCAACAATATTTTACAAGAAATTAATCCTAATTCAATAAAGTAAAGTGAGATTAAATTCAATAAATTAAGTATCGATACTAATGATGATTAATCTCTCGAACTTTAATTTAATAAATATTATAGAGAATATTATGTAAAAATATGTTTATCTTTTTATTTAGTTAACTTAAAATGATGAAACTTTAATAGATCTTGAATAAAGATAAGAAAAAGAAATTCAATTACTCTTAATTATTCATAAATAATAAAAAACTGAACTCTAAAATAAATAATCTTTAGTCTACAGACCTCCTGTAATTCCAAGTGGATCTGGATTTTTATCTCCAAAATCATTTTTTACATTATTCGAATTCAATAATAATGATTAAAAACAAATATAATAATAATCTTATTTTTAACCATCCTAAATTTGCAAAAAAACAGATACATTTAGTTAAGATGATGATGGGCTCAAAAAAAATGAATTTCAAAATTTTAATATTAATTCTAATCAATTGGTACTATATACAGCTATTATAATAGCAATCATTATGTAAATTTAATACAGATGTTGCATTATAATGGAAGACAGAAACTATTAGTAGTAGAATTATTTAAAGTTGAATATTAACATAATTTTATATGTTAAAAATGATTAATATTTAGTATTATATAGTGTCAGTGAGTTTGCTTCTTAAGAAAAAAAGTATAATTTAGTTAAACTACTTGAAAATCAAAAATAATTAATTAAATTTATAAATTGAAAGATTAACTTCATTTTTATGTTTTATCACTATTTTATAAAGGTTAATTATACTATGATTAAGGATAACAGGCAACATGATAATTAAATCCTGCAAGATAATTAGGAACTTATTAAAAATTATGTGTATTTAAATTAGATGGAAAATTCATGACAGATCTTGATGTTATACTTTAAGCACATCCTTAATATTACTATTAATAATTATTGAAAGGATAAATTGGAAAGTAAGAATTTACACTATGTTGGTTGTCTTGTTGAGAGAATTAATTTTATTGTGAGGGATCTTCAACATTTTAATTCATAACTATATTACTTAAAAGATTATTGTAACTAGGTAGACTAGGATTACTTAAATGTCCATACAATCCTTAATTAATATCTTTATTAAGATTGTTTTATTAAATGTTCTTGAAAAATTATGAGATTTATTCTTAAGTAGTAAAATAGATTCTCTTTTTCTCTTTATTAATTAAACATGTTGATAATTGTAGAGATTCATCTTAGGAAATTTGGTTAAAATCCATAATTTATAATGTCAATGTATTTTATTATTATTATTTATTATTAGTATTTTCTAGAGGTTATTTATCATTATCATTATTATTATCATTATTATTATTATTATCATCATTATTATCATTATTATTATCATTATTATTATTATTATTATTATTATTATTATTATCACAGTTTAAGTTATTGTTAATGATATTTTAATTAGAAATATTGTTATTAGTTAATTTTAATTCTTCAAATTATTATAATCTATTGTTATTTTTTGATTAACGGATAGATGAAATCTTCTTTGAAATTTAATCAAAATCTTCTTATTTAATATCATATGGTTCACCTCCGTCTTATTTCATTCTCCATTCAATTTTTTTAATAATTTAATTTATATTTCTTTATTCCTCTAAACTTAATTCTTCAGCTGAAGGGTCAGATAAAAAAGAATCTTATGCTTCACAATCACTTTCTTAAATAGACAAAGTTTAAACTTTATTATTTTTTTCTTTTCTGATTAGACAATTAAATCTATTTTTTACATTATTTTCACTTCTCTGTAACTTTAACTATTTTGAAATTTAAGCCCATTTTTTTCCATTTAAAATGGCCAATTTCATAAGCTCTAAATCTTCAGATAATTACCAAGGTTTTCTTAATATTAATAATNAAAAATGATTAATATTTAGTATTATATAGTGTCAGTGAGTTTGCTTCTTAAGAAAAAAAGTATAATTTAGTTAAACTACTTGAAAATCAAAAATAATTAATTAAATTTATAAATTGAAAGATTAACTTCATTTTTATGTTTTATCACTATTTTATAAAGGTTAATTATACTATGATTAAGGATAACAGGCAACATGATAATTAAATCCTGCAAGATAATTAGGAACTTATTAAAAATTATGTGTATTTAAATTAGATGGAAAATTCATGACAGATCTTGATGTTATACTTTAAGCACATCCTTAATATTACTATTAATAATTATTGAAAGGATAAATTGGAAAGTAAGAATTTACACTATGTTGGTTGTCTTGTTGAGAGAATTAATTTTATTGTGAGGGATCTTCAACATTTTAATTCATAACTATATTACTTAAAAGATTATTGTAACTAGGTAGACTAGGATTACTTAAATGTCCATACAATCCTTAATTAATATCTTTATTAAGATTGTTTTATTAAATGTTCTTGAAAAATTATGAGATTTATTCTTAAGTAGTAAAATAGATTCTCTTTTTCTCTTTATTAATTAAACATGTTGATAATTGTAGAGATTCATCTTAGGAAATTTGGTTAAAATCCATAATTTATAATGTCAATGTATTTTATTATTATTATTTATTATTAGTATTTTCTAGAGGTTATTTATCATTATCATTATTATTATCATTATTATTATTATTATCATCATTATTATCATTATTATTATCATTATTATTATTATTATTATTATTATTATTATTATCACAGTTTAAGTTATTGTTAATGATATTTTAATTAGAAATATTGTTATTAGTTAATTTTAATTCTTCAAATTATTATAATCTATTGTTATTTTTTGATTAACGGATAGATGAAATCTTCTTTGAAATTTAATCAAAATCTTCTTATTTAATATCATATGGTTCACCTCCGTCTTATTTCATTCTCCATTCAATTTTTTTAATAATTTAATTTATATTTCTTTATTCCTCTAAACTTAATTCTTCAGCTGAAGGGTCAGATAAAAAAGAATCTTATGCTTCACAATCACTTTCTTAAATAGACAAAGTTTAAACTTTATTATTTTTTTCTTTTCTGATTAGACAATTAAATCTATTTTTTACATTATTTTCACTTCTCTGTAACTTTAACTATTTTGAAATTTAAGCCCATTTTTTTCCATTTAAAATGGCCAATTTCATAAGCTCTAAATCTTCAGATAATTACCAAGGTTTTCTTAATATTAATAATATAATTACCTATTAATAGATGGATTAAGATGATTATTCCATCTTTCTCTACACTATTTGCCATTTCTATGTATAGTAGAATCAGTATGCTTGTTAAGAGATGTAGCTATCTGACTCCATTTGTTTCCTTTATTTAATTTCTAATATTCTTGAATAATTAATAGAAGTTCATCGTCTTCTTATCTAGTCCAAGGAGCTTATTGTAAAGGTAATCTCAACATTTGAAGCCACTTTTATTTGCAATGAAAGGCATCTCTTCTTTACATCATTGAAGATATGTTGATCCAATCTGATTCACTCTATATTATTGATATCAATTATTCAATACAATCTGCTTAAAATCTCGTTTATTAAAGGCTAAGTATTTTCCAACCAACCATATTAACACTTTTTTATCCTCATCAGTCCAGTTCTTCTTCAGTTTATTTGCAGTTTACTGGGTACTTGCCTAGTTATTCTTTTAAATGTTCAGAATTTCATAATTATCTGGAAATTATTCTAATCCAAGATTATATAGCTCTTTCATATAAGTGAATCTCACATTTGTAATGTCTTTTACTTTATCGAAAAAATCTTTAAATTTTATGAAGAAATCATCCATTATTGATTTTTCAGAAATTATAAAATAATCGAATAAAAGAGTACCCCATTAATAGTGTATTGTCGGATATTTTATAATTGTTTAATTTTATATGTAATAAGCTTATTAGATTTAAGGATGGTGGGATTTGCTAGTTAATTTAAAATCACATAAAATTATATAAAGATGATTGATATTTAACGAAATGACTAAAATAATTTTGTGGTTGCAGATCAAAATTAAAATCTTATATCCTAAAAGAATATTAATAATATTGCATGAGAAATAAGATTGACAGATAAACCAATCAGTTTAACATGTTTCTATGGTTATTCAATCAGGATAACCTTGTATCAGTTGCGGAAATAATATATATGAGTATTCAATTTTTAAGGAATTTTACAAATGTTCATTCAATTAAACAAGATGAATCAGATATTTGGAAATAATATTTAACTTAAAAAATCTAATCAAAGATTTAAAGAATTTACAATCGAACACAAATTATTATGTGTGTATTGGATTTTTATGATTAGTAAAAATAAAAAGAATTATCAGAAAAAATTATTATTGTCTTTACAGTGAAAATTCAATTATTTGAATGAATTTGCTTAAAAAAATGCTGCTGAAGACAAATCATAGGGATAATTAATTGTTGGAACAGAATTAAATTCTTATACATATATAATTAAGAAATAACATAAATTTATAAAAAAGTAAATAAAAAAATTAATAATTAGTATAAAGTGCCTGGAGTTTCAATTTCATTTAGTATATTTTATGAAGAATAGTAGTATTATTAAAAGAGAGAGTTGTATTTATTTTAATAACAATGATTTTTAAAGCATTTACTATTGATTTGCAATCAAAACTAATCTCAATAATTAAATAATAAAGATGTTGTATTATTAATTTAAATTTAGGCTCATTATTTAGAAGCATGATTTTTTGAGAGTAAAGATGAAAAGTGAATATCATCATCTTAGATATTTAATCATTCATACAAATTATTATAAATTTAGCTTAGAAAATTATTACTTCACCACTACATAACATCTATAGGGTTGTACAATACTATTAACATTAATAAAATTAATATTAGTTGTAGATGTAACAAAATATTTTAACGATTGAAACTATCACATCAAGTAAAGAATAAGAAACTAAAACGATTGCTGATTGTGTTAGAAAATTAAACTATCTAATTTTATAAAGATACTTAATCAATGTCTAGAATTAGTTTGGAAGTTAAAATTTATTTTATTAGAGATAGATTTCTTATCACAATCAATATTAAAGAAACTCTAGAAATAAGATCTTTATCACAAGAATTCGAAAAGGAAGTAAGCTATTTTAGAAAAAGAAATTCTAAAATCAATTGAATTTCCGCCAATAACAAATTATTTTTTTAATAATTTTAAAGAGAGAGAGAAAGGCCTGATATGTTAAGAATTTTAAAAAATGATTCATTGAGAATTAGATTCAAAACAGCTTTTACATATTTAAATTTTATAGTATTAAGAATTGGCTCCATAATTAAATTAGAATAATTCCTTAAAAATATTTGCAATTGTGGAGGGATTTAAATTTTAGTTATTTTACATCATAAAAAATATAAGCAATCAAACAATTAAGGATATTAAAATTAGTTATGTATTCAATTCAGATATTTATTAATCATTTTAAATAATATATTTATAGNTATTATTGTCTTTACAGTGAAAATTCAATTATTTGAATGAATTTGCTTAAAAAAATGCTGCTGAAGACAAATCATAGGGATAATTAATTGTTGGAACAGAATTAAATTCTTATACATATATAATTAAGAAATAACATAAATTTATAAAAAAGTAAATAAAAAAATTAATAATTAGTATAAAGTGCCTGGAGTTTCAATTTCATTTAGTATATTTTATGAAGAATAGTAGTATTATTAAAAGAGAGAGTTGTATTTATTTTAATAACAATGATTTTTAAAGCATTTACTATTGATTTGCAATCAAAACTAATCTCAATAATTAAATAATAAAGATGTTGTATTATTAATTTAAATTTAGGCTCATTATTTAGAAGCATGATTTTTTGAGAGTAAAGATGAAAAGTGAATATCATCATCTTAGATATTTAATCATTCATACAAATTATTATAAATTTAGCTTAGAAAATTATTACTTCACCACTACATAACATCTATAGGGTTGTACAATACTATTAACATTAATAAAATTAATATTAGTTGTAGATGTAACAAAATATTTTAACGATTGAAACTATCACATCAAGTAAAGAATAAGAAACTAAAACGATTGCTGATTGTGTTAGAAAATTAAACTATCTAATTTTATAAAGATACTTAATCAATGTCTAGAATTAGTTTGGAAGTTAAAATTTATTTTATTAGAGATAGATTTCTTATCACAATCAATATTAAAGAAACTCTAGAAATAAGATCTTTATCACAAGAATTCGAAAAGGAAGTAAGCTATTTTAGAAAAAGAAATTCTAAAATCAATTGAATTTCCGCCAATAACAAATTATTTTTTTAATAATTTTAAAGAGAGAGAGAAAGGCCTGATATGTTAAGAATTTTAAAAAATGATTCATTGAGAATTAGATTCAAAACAGCTTTTACATATTTAAATTTTATAGTATTAAGAATTGGCTCCATAATTAAATTAGAATAATTCCTTAAAAATATTTGCAATTGTGGAGGGATTTAAATTTTAGTTATTTTACATCATAAAAAATATAAGCAATCAAACAATTAAGGATATTAAAATTAGTTATGTATTCAATTCAGATATTTATTAATCATTTTAAATAATATATTTATAGTCATTTTTTTATAACAAAATACTCAAAAAATTTTGAGTGTTATCTCACAAATATTCACGAAAATGGTTTAAGTGATACTATTAAAATCATTTTGTATAAGGAATCAAAATTAGTTATCTTAACCTCAATTTAATTGCGAATAAGTGAATTAGTATTAAACTATCTTCAATTAATTAACATTTATATGAATATTAATAAATATTATATTAATATATTTTTCATAATTTTAAGGAAAGTAAACAAGTTTTCAAGCAATGTCTAATTAAAAAAAAATCGTTAAAATTAGTTTTTTATAAGAAATGAAATAAATACTTAAAATCGTACTATGCAGTACTAAATTTGTCTTGATATATTTACCAATTCTTATTAATTTAATTCTAAACTATTGCATAAAAACGTCATTAAAAATAAGATTGATACTATTTTAATGTTAGTGTATATAATTATCTTAAAAATCTATTAGTATTAATAAACATTTTTTTAATTATCGAATTAATAACTTAATATTAGTAAATTATAATTACTAATCAGATTAAAATTTGTTAGAATGAAGTAAATAATTCAATTGTTTTGATCAAATATGAAACACATTCTTTTTAAAGATATAAAAAAGACATAAAATGATATATATAGTTTTAATTTGCCATAGTAAAATAATGCTTCTTCTTTTCAGTATTAAATAATAAAATGAATACCTAGAAAAATACTCAAAATAATAATGATCATAATAGAGAAAGTAATTTTGAAATGGAGGACTTGAAGGGTAAAGGCATAATAAAAGATTTTTAGTGGTTTCACATGAGATTGCAATCAAAGAGTTCTATCATTTTATTGAAAAAACATCTTTTATATAAGAAAATTTTGAAATGTTATCTAAAGTTGGTGAAAATTTACGATTGAATTTTAAAGATTGGCCAACAGATGAATAGGCAATTATGCTATTTAAACTGAATATGTATTATTATGTTGAATTTTAAGTTAAAATGAAAGAAGAAAATCAATAAAGTGGAGTGAACCTGAAAAAAAATTATTTTGTTGGATAGTAATCCGATATTGTTTATATAAAGGGTTAAAGGATAATAGATTATTAGTAAATGATTTATTAACTTGACAGAAATAAGAAGATTGGAGAGAAATTTCTAAAATAGTAATAGGAAGAAATGCACATCAGTTGAGACAGAAATGGGAATAAAAATATCTAGTTCCTTTATCATAAATTCCTTGGACTAAATAAGAAGATTAGTTACTATTTTAAGTTCATGAGTAAAAATATTTATTGATGATTAGAGATTTTAAAAAGTTGGGTAGAGAGAATAAATGGTCTTAGATAGCAAATGAAATGTTTTAAAGATCATCTAATAAAGTATTTAGGCAACCAAAATAATATAGAGAAAGATGGATAAATAGATTAGATCCAAATATATCGAAGTATCATATTATTTAATTAGTGAACCTTGGGATAAATAATAAGAAATCAATTTATTAAAAATGATTTTGATTAGAGGTAAGAGATGGTCAGAATTATCAATTATTTATGGTAAATCAAGAACAGAAAACAGCTTAAAAAATAGATATAATTCTCTAATTAAAAAATAAATATCAAAATAAGAGATTGATTCTATAAATCCAATTTTATTTGAAAAAGTTTAAATTTTAAGACAAAATTATTCAAAATAGTTGGGTCTAATTACTCCAATTGAAGAAATCGACAATTATGAATGCCAATTTATTCTTTTAGCTATTAAAAGTTTATATGTGGAACTATATCTACAATAAGGAAATATTGCTGAAGCAGAAAAGATTAATAATGATGAATCTTTCGATTATTTTTAGGAATAATTTATACAAGAAAAAGAAAGATAAATTCAAAATTTTTATTATAAGAAGAAATTGAATCTTCAAAAGGTGGATTCTAAATTTTAAATAGAAAATGACAAAAGTAGCATAGTAATTTTTAATTAGAGAAAGAATAAAATCTATTTGACACCATACAATATATAAGATTTTTAAGAGATTATACTTAATAAAATTATAAAGAAGGTTAATATAGATTTTAGTGATAACTAGTATGATTAAGAAAAGACTTCTTTATCTAATTAATCTGGATTGTTTTTAGCTAATTAATAAAATTTATTAATTCCTTCTTAATAGTTAAATAATTATTGGTTTATTCCAAATTATTATGGATCCTCATTATCAGCATAAACAAGCAATTCAATTTAATTTCACACCTTAAAATAAAGTCAGTAATACTAAAAGAGTATTGATTAAAAAAATTAATCAGATATCATAGCTTAAATAGGAGTAGATATAAAAACTGTAGATTCATGTGATGAAATATGAATTTTCAAAAAGTGTATTTATTACATAAATTAATTATTCTATTTGTTTACTTCTCGATAATATAATTCAATATAAGGAAGTATAAAATTTTAATAAAATTTATGATAAAGCAAATAAATTAAAGAAAATATTTTCATAATTGAGTTTTAACATCCATTCATATTCCTTATTATTTTTGTTCAACCTCTGTAATAAATCTTTATTAAGTTTTATTCTTATATATTTGAAAATTTTGAAGAATTTAATGATTCTCCTCTTAATTATTTATTTATTTAATGTTTTATTTTTGATTTTTTTTTTATTATAATTTTTAATTTATTTAAACTTCTTTTTCACTTAAATTTTCTTATTTTTAATAATAAAATTCTTTCAAAATTGTTTCTTTAGGAAAATTTTCTTGCATACTTTATTGTAAAGGTTTAATAAATGCTAAAAATTCACTTTCTCCTTTTCCAAATTCTTTTTCATCAAAATTGAAACTGAAATAATCAGGAGAATGAGGAGGTTTAAATTTTTTTAAATAAATATCTTTATATAAATTTGAATCACCCCATTGAGTCATCCATGGATGATTTAATAAAGTATCAATTGAATCAATTCTATCCTTAGGATTTTTAGCTAATAAATTGGTTAAAAGATGTTTAATTGATGAGGATAATTATAACTATGGAGGAAAGGTTAATTTAGAATGCAATATTCTTTAATATATTTCATCAAGATTTCTTGAATAGAAAGGAGGTAATCCAGTAATTAATTCATAAAGTAATGCTCCTAGACAATATAAATCTAATTAAAATGTATGTCCACTTTTTAAAAGCATTTCTGGTGCCATATATTCAGAGGAACCACAAAATGAATAAGCATTTTCTGTATCAATCATATCAGGTTTAGATAATCCAAAATCAGCTATTCTTATATGTCCATCTAAATCAATTAAAATATTTTCAGGTTTAATGTCTCTATATATAACATTGTTAGAATGAAGAGTTTTCATTCCTAAACAAATTTCAGAAAAATAAAAAAAAGCATCTTTCTCACTCATTCTTTTGATCTATTTAAATTAAATTAGTTACTTTTCTAAGTAAAAAAAACAGTTCCCCTCCAGAACAGTACTCTTAAACAAAAACAAAGAATGTTTTAGATTCAAATGCAAATTACATTTTAACTATAAAAGGATGATCTATCAAACACATAATATTTCTTTCATTTTGTATTATACTATGTCTATTTTATTATATAATTGGATTTTTTTCAATTAATTTCATTGCAAAATATTTTCCAGTTTTTCTTTCTTTAACTAAATAAACTTTTGAGAATCCACCCATACCAATACATTTGATAAATTCAAAATCTTTAAGGCTAACTTTGGAAGTTTAAATTTCATTTTCAATTTCAAAAACAGGTTTAATTACTAAAGGTCTGATTTAACAATTATCAAAAATTATTAAAGGTTTATCACTCAAAGATAAAATATAATCTATTGGAATATAAAGATTATATGTTTAAATTCCTATAATTTTTAATTATAAGTCTTTAAAGTTTTTATAAATTTCTTAACTTACTAAATCAATTAAATTTTGAATAGTTTTATTAGATGTTTCAATTTGTAATTTTAATCGGAACATTTTGTATTGTAAAATGATTAAAAGAAGAGTGTTCTTCCTATAATTTAAAATGGGAAAAAATACCTTGCAGTAAGAGATTCAAATTATTGAAGTTCATTTAAAGTTTCTTAGGGAGAATTACATTATAAAATAGGAACTATTGATAATCCATTACTTTTGGAATGAAATAAATTCTAATGTAAGGATATCATTTAAGAGTTCTAAGAAATTAAAGACTATTGAATTGGATGGAAAGGATTTGATGATTAACTGTCAACATATTATTTTTTCAAAAGGTCTTAAAAAGCTATTTCAGTCTTTTATTTTTGAGATAATGAATTCTTTTTAGATTATTGAATTTGAAAGATTTCTGAGGGTTTTTGATTTTATTAAATAAACTAATTTGTTTTATGATCTTCAGTTTCTAATCCAACTCCAAAATTTTAGTATTAAGTATTATGTTAGGATTAGGGTTATGTTTTGATTTGATTAGGGTACTATTATTTATTGATTAAATTGGATTGTAGTAATATTTAGGTGGAACTTATAGACTATGGAGATATAAAGCCTTTGGATTTAAGGAGATCTTATTATTGAAATTTCGATATTGTTTTCCTCAAATAATAGCAAGAATATTTTACGATTATTAATACTATTGTGGAGAAGCATTCTATTTAAGTAATTAAGGCTTTTGAAATGTGATTTGTTTATTAGTCTATAAAATTTAGATTTGATTACTTTAAAATTTGAATGGAAAGTGGGAGACTTAGAGAACTGATGCTAATCTCTTTGAGTAGATAAAGCATAGAGTTCTAAAGGAGATGTTTCTGATGAGTAAGTTTTATGATGTAACCTTTTGGATAGCATACTATAATTATTATGTATATATATATTAATAATCATAACAATGGTTTTGACATAATTTCTACATCTTTTGTTTTTTCAACAACAAAATTGGCAATATATTATCCAATTCCTAAAAATACCATAAATAATATTCCAATTTAAATTGTGAATTCAGGATAGAGTGCAATAGCAGGACCAGGACATAATCCACCAATTCCCCATCCCATTCCAAATAATGCTGATCCTAGAATTAGTTTTAAATCAACTGTTTTATTTGTTGGAAGTTCAAATTTTGTATTAAACACTGGTTTGTCTAAAATTCTAAATGTAATGAAATTGACTCCTACAGCTGTAATCATAACGAAAGCTAAACTTGCTAAAGCTATATTAATTTATTACGATCCCAAACTTGACTACTAATAGTTAAGAAACTGACAATTTTTAATCTCTAAACCATTCCTGAAATAACCAAACCTAGTCCAAAAATAAATCCAGTTAGAGATGCCACTGCTACATCTACAATCTTTGATTTATCCTAAATGTTTTATAACACAAAGGATAACACTATTAATGCAACACTCACACATAAAAATACAGTAGATATTGTGGAATACGAATCAAGAGGAATGATGTTGTTAGAAGGACCATAAAAGTCTTTATTGACCACTAAATAGAATATAAGATTCAATATATACCCCAATATCTAAATGTAGCAGTTATGAAACCCATTCCCATGAATGTACATACAGCTACAATTGATCTAATTGATAATCTAGGTAATCCACATACTCCATGTCCACTAGTACATCCATTTCCCATCTTTGTTCCAAAACCTACTAAAAACCCACTAATCACACATCCTGCCCAGCCTATTCCTGTTAACATTTACTCTGTGTTATATGATGGAGATGCTCCTTTCAAAATGGATGATTGTCTAAATTAGTTTATATAATTATATACCCATTATCATAAATCTTAAACATTATACAAGAGGCCAACATGACAGAACTCATTAAACCTAATTTCCAATTCCAACTTCCTTTATCAAAAGTTATCAAACTATAGTAAATTCCACTAAATCCTGTTACTCTTCCCATTAGCATGTAGTGTATGCTAGTTGCCACTCCAATTAAACATCCTCCAATTAGTGCCAAATATACATCATCTGAATTCCAACAAACATTAGTATTGCAATAACTCATTTAATTTATTAAAAGATATTTATTTCTTTTTAAACAATTTTAATAGTTTAAATAACTATGTGTAATATTAATATAAATATCTATTCCATATTTAATCCTTATTTCCTTTTAATTTTTTTAATTGTTCATATCTTATTATTATCAAATTATAATACAACCTTTTACTCTATGCATTATTCTCAAATTAAATTTCTATTTATTTGAATTATTTTATTATTTTTATGATTCAAAGAAATCGAGTATCAAGTCAATAAAAACTTCCAACTTTAGATTTATCATCTACAAATAGAGGAACTATCGAAAGATTAAGAGTTAATGTAATTATGACATTATATTTATGTAGATTACTGTTTAATCAGGAGATGCATAATTTATTAGTTTTAGATCCTTAAATGAACAAAATCCAAAGTTTCCCTTGCCTCATAATTCAATTGAATCCTCATCTCATTGGAATTCAAGCATTTAAAATGATTTAAGTTAGAATAAGAAAATAATTCAATTGTTAGGCAAAACCCTATATAAATAGAAATATGAATATTAGGAAGTTTAAGAAACGTTAATAGTAATTAATTTACATATATTAAGAAAAAAATGAGAACAATGACTAGGATGTAAAAATATGTTAAAATAATACCACATAGAGTAGAACCATTTTAGAATTTAGAAAAAATTGCTTAAACTGCTCAATAACAGTAAGTTAAGAAAAAAGTATCATTTCCTATGTTGTATAATGGAGCTTTTTTTACTAAACTTGAACATAAATGGATACCTACAGTTAGAGAAAATACAATGGCAGCAGACTATTAAAAGAGAATTTATATTTTTGGTGGAATAGGAAGTGAAGTTTTTGGTGATATGATAGAATATGAAATATAATTTGGTAAATTTAGAGAACTTAAATAAAAAGGAGATATTCCTTTAAATAGATATGGACATTGTATGCATTGTATTGGTTATCCTATGTTATTATCTACTTAATTTTCTTATGATAACATATAATAAAGTCCAATTAATGGAAAATAATTGATTATTTATGGAGGAGAAATGCAATTTAATTCTGCTTTAAAAATAAGAGAAAATTTAAGTGATACTAGAATATATGATATTGAAAGTGAAACATGGCAATAACTTAAGCCTAATATAGAAAACATTCCAGAAAGCAGACGTTCTTTTGGAAGTTGTATAATAGGTCGTGGTTTATTAATTATGGGAGGTATTCGAAGTAGATTCTCAGTATTTAATGATCTTCATTACTTAAATCTAAGTATTTTAATTAAATCAATTTAGGTTTATGTAAATGGACTCCCTTAGAAACCTAAAAGAGTCCCTTCATTAAAGGATTGGCATTTTAACAATTAGTTTGTGTATATAACAAACCTTAATACGTTTTTGACAGAAGAGAAATACGATCTAAACAAATTAAAATTTAAGATTATGAAGGAGTCTATTGTTTTGGTGGATGTTTTATTGATGAAAATAAAAACACTTAATATTATAGTAACTTTGTAACTATTCTGAAATTCGATTAACACTATAATAATTGGATCATACCTGAAACTACAGGTAAACAACCATTACCAAGAATCTAACATACTGCTACTTATATACAAGATATGAACATAATTATCATATTTGGAGGAAGAGATGATTAAAAACCAAACCCATATTTTAATGATTTATTTGCATTCAAAATTTTAGATAAAGAATGGGTTTAATTAGATCTTTTTGGAAGTATTCCTAAACCTAGGGCTGCTCATACTGCTATTTCATATATGAGTTAAATTTTATATTTTGGAGGTGTTAATCTTAATGGGTATGTTGAATTTACTGTAAATATTGCAGAATTTAACTAAAATTAAATTCGCCAATTAGCATCTGAATATAGAATTCATTAATAAAAAAATAATTAAGAATTTTAATAAGAAGAACAATTAACACAATCCATAATCAATAAATAATACTTTTCTTTACATTAAATCACTCCTGTATAACCTTTAAAAAAATTAACAAAAGCAGAAGAATTAGATTTACAAATTAAATAATTGTCTTTTTAAAACTTTCCTAAACATCTTAAATGAACTGTAATTTATATATTTATTATATAAGTCATTCATTATTTAGAGTTTTCATATAAAGAAGTCTAAGTTTTAGGGCTCTTAATTTTACTCTATAAAAAAATGTATACTTTTTCATACCCTAGATATATTTTTAAACTTTTTTATGATATTTTCTATTTATATTTTCTAAATGTTATATAATGCATTAAATATTTCCTGAAGGAAAGTAATTTTCATACGATTAATATTAATCACATTAAATCACACTATGAAACAATTAATTTGAAAATAATTCATCCATCATACTAAATTCTTTTGCTTAATTATTTGATTCTTTTTTAATTAATTTTACTTAAGGTAAATCTTAATCTTAATTAGATGATTGATCAAATTTAATTATCATTTTATTTACAGAACCCTCTCCAATTAATAATTTTGCTTATTCATTATCTCCATCATCTAAAGCAATTCCAGTTGATTTCTTATTATCAATATTAAGTTCAGAATAATTATTACTTTTTGATCTTTATGCTGCTATAGCTACTTAGAAAGAATTAGACATATGATAACCATAATTATCTTCTAAGTATTAATTAACTTATTATTAAATTGTTTCTTACTATCCCAAACTATTACTTTTGTTTCTTTATCTAATTTTTTTCAATCTATTTGGTAAATTAATTAATTAATTCATTTTTAAGAGTCTTTATTCTAAGTCTGGTTTATATGTTAATATTGGACAATCTATTTCTTAATGATTATACCTATCACAATATTAACATTACATATCAAATATTCGATAATTTTAATAAAAAATTATTTAATCCTTGATATAATGAAACTTTTCAAAATCTTTTCTGTTAAATTAAAGTATATCTAAAAATTCTTATCTGCTAATTTTATAGATATTTGAAAAACCAACACTGATAGCTGAGGTTTTAGGTGGAAAATTAGTAAAAAATTAGTATATTCCAAATGGTTAATTTAATTTTAATCTATTAAATTTCATTTTAGTTTATTCATCAATTATATCAACTTCACCTTCCTTTATATAATATAGATTTTTATCTGAAATGTCACCTCTTTTAGATATTATGTCTCCAGGAGTAAATTTTACCAATTATAAACTCTTTGACAATTACTATTATGTTCTTTTAGAAAAATGATTGATAACACATTTATCTTTATTTATCACTTTAGTTTAGATGTCAGTATTTAAATCTTACTATAGATTTGAAGGTAATAAAGATATCAAATTATTAACATCTTCTTAATTTTCATTTTGTTCCTACTCTATATAATATTTGAGATAATTTCGAATTCTACTTTAAATTTGAGGTTCAACCTGATTTTTGCTCATATAGGTATTCATTTATAATAATGATCTTTTATATTTAATTTTAGAGTCTTAAAGACTTTTTAAAATCATTCCAATAGAATTCATAGAATATGCAAAAACTCCACTTGATAAAAACATAATGATATCAACATATATAATTTCTAATTAACTTTGAGCAGTTATGTCACCATATCCAACTGTTGTCATAGTCATAGTGGCCCAATAAAAGGAGTAATTATATTATTTCCAGGGAGATTCATTAATTAATTAATATCTGATAAGCCATGAAGTTTCTCCCGATTTAGATCCTACATAATACCAAAAGCAGGCAACAATATGTGCAAAAAAATAAATTGTAAATATTAAACATAACAAATCCATAAAAAAACTTGATGCTCCTTTAAAGAAGGCGAATAAAAAATAATCAGTTAAATACTTTTAAATTTTTATATAAGCAACAATCATCTAACAAACAGTAAGACATTCACCTAAAATAGGATATGATATCAGATCTTATTAAATCATAATTTATAGAGCTAAATTCATAAAATCATTTACAGCAGTTGTTTATAGATATTATGAGATTAATTTTCTTCTCTTTTAAATTAAAATCCCTTAGATTATGATTCCTTTATTCAATGTAACAAATATATCACTAATGAGAAATAAAATAATTAATAATTAAATGGCAGAAAATGAGATTTGATGGATTTATTATTAAAAGGTCATTAGAAATGGAGTTAACCATAGAATCATCAAATTAATTATAGTACCAAAAGCATCCCATATTATAATAAATCCACTAGTAGGTGAAATAACAGGTATTGTTGATTGTTAATATTTTTCTATGTAAAATTATATAATTCAAATACCTAAAATTGGTTATTTGATGCTTTTTTTAATATACTTATCATGGATGAGTTATTTCTTACTTTATCTTAAAACATATGAATTTGTAAAAATATTATTAATGAATTGTTATTTCATTCGTTCAGTCTTTAGAGCTTTCAAAAAATTTGATTAACTCCAGGTACTATCAAATTTTGATTTCTTGAATGTGTTTTTAAATGTATTTATTTCATTAGAAAATTTAGCAGTTTAGTTAGTTTAGTCTTAATGAATCATTCTTTATTATTTAGAATTGCGTCTAAGTCCAGTTTTATTTATATTTTTATCAATCATTTATCTACTACTATCATCTGATATTTCAGATAATCTAGAAGCTGATTCACTTTTACTGCTAATTTGTTTAGTATAAATTCTAGGATTAGGATTAGATTTAAAATCAATATTATTTTGCGACATAATTAATTATAATTATAATTCATCTTCTTTTTTTATTTCCTCCTTTTCTAGTTGGAATTTCTGAATCACTTGATTGTTTTCTTTTCTTTTTAATTCCATCATCAGAATCTGATTCACCTAAAATAATATAAATATATATCTATACCTTCATAATTTTAATCAACTTAAACTTATTCTTTTTATTTTTATCCTTAAATAATTATTCCTTATTTTTTTAAATCTTTAACTAAATTATTTGCATCTTCTCTTTATTATTCAAAATCTTTCATAATAGCATCTCTTAATGCTTATCCTTCATCCTATCCTTACATTCCTATTTCTTCTTATAATACTTTTAAGAAATTATTCTCGTTTTTAACATCAACATTTGCTTTTTCTAATCTTTCAATACATACTTCTAAACTGATTATTAAACTTTAATAGAATGATTATTTTGGTTTTAGTTTATTATTATCATCTTCTTTGATATCATACATTTCTAAAAAATCTGCCTATTTTGTTACTTGGGTAATAACTTTTTAAAGTATAATATTATTATGATCACTTACTAATTTACAAAGATACATAATAAATCTTTCTTATGGTCCAATAAAGTCAGATTCTAAAGATCTAGATTCCAAAATATCTTTAAATTCTCCTAAAGAAGGATTAGATTTTTAACCAGTTATTTTATAACTCATCATTTTTATGCCTGCACTTGCTGCTTATATTAATGAATTTTCTTGCCATTATTATGTTTCAAATAGATCTGGATTCAAAATCTAATCCTTAACATAATGTAAATAACAACATATACTAAAGTATAATTCTAAACCCTTTTCAAATATCCTTAAAAATTACAGAGAAGATGTAATATAAAGTTTAAGAAAACTAGTTACAATTTATAAAGGCAATTGTTAAGAACGTAATCTTACATCAAACCATAAAAATAAAAATTAAGCTATCCAAACTTATGGCTTCTATATTTTATCATGTATTAATAACTTACATAATCCTTCTAAAGCTATTGCTTAAATTACTCCTTCAGATTTATATGCAAATTTCATTATAATCTATAATATCTTTTATTTACCATAAGTTTCTGAATCAATAACCCAAGCCTAATCATCATCATACATTAAAAGTGCATCTAAAATACTTCTTAATGCTGTTATCGTCATTGGATTATCACTATTTTTTTATGTTGGAATATATTAATCTAATATTCTTGCCAATGTTGCAACTGTAGATCCTCCAACATCAATTCCAAATAATGGAATATATCCTAAACATCTGAAACTTAATTTCTTTGCTAAACAATCTTCTCCAATTTTATATTTCTCACTAATTGTAGTTATTATATTCTTTAATCTTATGAAAATTCTATCTTCTATTTTGGCAATGTCAAATTAATTAAATAAAGCATCTAATAAATACAAACAATGTATATCAATATTTTTATTTATTTGTTTTATTTAATTTAATTCATTAAGTGTTTATTACATAGCTTTTTCATTCTAATCAATAAGTTATTCATTTAATTATAATGATTATAAATTTTACTTCTTCTTTTTTAGTAAAGATTCTTTTTCTTATTCTAAATTATCTCTCTCTTCTTTCCTAACTTATATCGTTTATTCCAATTACTAAATATTTTCTATAATTATTTATCTTTATAAATCTTATATCACTTTAAATACTTGTTCAGCCATTTCATCTTGATTAGATACCAAAAGTTTAATTACTTTTATAGAAGGAATCATAAGTTCATAATAACTTTTTATTATTGGCATTTCAAAATGATGTTAAGCAAACCATCTACTTTCTAATTCTTAATCACTCTTATCTTCATAGATCTCATTAAACTTTTAATTATGCAATCTTTAACACTCCAATTTTCTATATTTACTTATGAATTACACCATTTTATCTAAAAGTTTTGTTCTCCCTATTTATTCTTAATTTATGAGTAATTATGCTAATTATAATAATTCATAATATTATAATAAATCTAAATCTTAATTGAAAATTTCTGCGAATTAAGTTCCTTCTGGGAAATTATGATCTACTATTAAATTCATTTATTATTATAATTATGTTTTCTACTCAGAATCCTGGGACATCTAACATAAAACTTTAATAAATGACATTTCTGGTCCACTTGTTTAATAACTTAAATTTCTTAAAGCATCTCTAAAATATGTTGATAATTCATCTTAATGAACAGATTTCAAAATTGCCTTCAATCCATCCATAATTGTTGAATATAATTAAGGAAATATCAGAGTCTTGTCAATTTAAAATAAATTTAAAAATCTCTTTACTGCTTCATTTATTTGATTTACTTATTCCAAATTCATTGATTTTCTAGCTGATTTCTACTTTGAATCTTCTTACATTATTGTATCATCTTAAATTAATTTACCAAAAGATTACTATAAAAATTATTCACATTATTCTACTACTTTTTAACTACTATTTTTTAAACCATCATATATCACTTGATATAAATCTAATGTTGATAATTATTAAATTGAAAAATGATTTTTCATTAATTTCTTAAAAACCTACAATCTTACATCTACATCTGTATCTCTTATTCTAATTATTATAAATGGAAGAGTAGAATCATTTAATTCTGTATTTGTCAATGCATCTAATCTTAATTCCTTTTTATCATCTTCACAAATTGTTCTAACCATTTCATATTTTAATGCTACTATTGCTTATTTTAATTTATTTTATTTTCTTTCCTCAAAAGCTATATGTTATAAATAAGAACCTAATTTTACAGCCAAACCTTTTTGTGTTTTCCCTGTCTTTTATAATTTTGTGTTCTTAAATAAACCTACTGTGTGATTAAGCATGTCATATGCTGTTTTTTCATCCACTAACTAATTCAATAACTAAGGTGGAATGCATCTCAATATCATAAACAAATGTCTTCCACAACATATTCTTGTTGCAAAATTTTATGAGTCCAAACCTTCTGCAAACAATTACATTAAATAAAGAAGGAAACTATTATATTTATAATTCAATAAACCTTCTAGTGTTATCTGTGCTAATTTATTTTCGAGTCTTTTAGGCGGGAAGTGTTGATTCATTCCATTTTTTTATCATTAATGTAACAAATTTTTCTGTAACATTTTCAAATAATTTTCTATGCTGTTTTGAAGTACCATTAAAGTTCTTTATTATTTTTAAATAACAACATTCTAATTATTTTGTAAACTATCTAAATGTTTATTAATTCTAATTACTATGTGTCTCCTAAGAAACTCACATGTAAATTATGAATATGCTGCTACGTAACATTCCCACAGTCAGCCACATCATTCAAAATTGAAAATACGTCCATTTTTTTAAATTTAATATATAATTTTTTATTCATAACCCAAAATATCACTCATATAACTATCGACTAAATATTATATAACATTTCTTTATTTTTAACTTGGATTCAATGTTTTTTTATTTATTTACATTTTTATTCAATGCCTTATTAAAATTTTAAATTAAAACACTCATTTTCTTCTCACAAATAACTTTTAGAATCTCCTTGGTTTAATTTCAACTATATATTCAATACTTAAAAAGTTTATGATGAGATAAAGTCATCTTTATTATCAAATTCTAACTTGGTTATTGTAATTAATTTTCTCATTTTGATCATTATTAAGATCTATATAATAGAAAATATTATTTTACATAAATTTGGTAAAAATTTACTTATAATTCTTCTATCATCCCATTAACTTATTTCATCATTCTAAAATCTCAAAATTTACTTCCCTCCTAAAAGTCCTTTTTCAGTTGAGCTATTTTTATAGAACTAAAATTAAATAAACAAAAAGATTTATTTAAATAATATAAAAATACTTAAATATTAATGATAATCAAAAAATTATAAATTTGATGAATATACTTTTTTTCTCATTTTTAATAATTTTGAAGTAAAAAAAACTGCAATAAAAAAATCATCTGTTATTTTAAGTATTTTAAATTATTAAAAAATATTTTGCTTTTTAATTATAACCGAATGAATTCAGCTTCATCATAAACAATTATTGATCCATTCATAATCAACTTTATAATGAGAGGTTTTGAATTTTATTAAGAAAATAAAAAAATGTATTTCGTATTTTATCAAATACTATTATATCTATATAGCATTTATTCAAAGAGCTTTTATTTCTCGAAGCTCTTTATAGAATTAGTTATATTTGTAATTCAGATTTATCAAAAGATTTTTTCATATTGAATAAAATGTATCAAGCCTAACCTTTAGAGAGGATTAAGCTTCATTTTTTGTTCTTTTTATGTTTTTCATTAAAGTTTCTTCTTTTTAGAGGCAATAATATAAATTTTACAAAAATAAAAATTCTTAATATGAATAATAAAAAACAATAAAGAAAATAGTTATTAGTATTTAATGATATTTTCTAATTAATATAAATTATTGTTACAATCATTAGCATAAATTTCAAAAGCAAAAGTTTTGTTCTAAACAATGTTGCTATTAATGTACTTCTTATTTTCATAAAGAAAAAGTTTATATTCATGAAAAAAATTAATCATAATTAAGGTTATAATTTATTTTGAGTTGTATATTGTTAGGTAAAAAGCCACATTTTCTTCTTATTAATTTTTCAAATCAAAGCTTGAGTTTTTTGATTAAATATAGGTTACGAAAAAATGTAAAAAGTTTTTTTGTGTAATTAGTTAAATATATAATTTTTTTACAAAAGAATTATATGTCATCAAAAAAAGAATACGGAATAGAAGAGCATATATATGAAACTTTGCTTGATTTATATAAATTAGAGTGTAGCGAAGCCTTTCGATTTCCTGTTGATATACATCTTTTTAAATGCCCAGACTATTACTAAATAATAACAGATCCGATGGATTTGAGTACTTTAACAACAAAATATAAGGATGGTGCATACAAAACATTTAATGAAATAAAAGAATAAATAGATAAAATAATAAAGAATTGTAGAAAATTCAATACCGATCCTAATCATACAATCTTAAAAACTTGTTCAAAATTTGAATAATGTTTTAATACAAGATGGAATAAATTAAATGAAATAAGGATTTAGTTAGGGATTCCAGATGATTATTAATTAAGGGTAGAAATGAATAAATTGGATTCAATAGAATAAAGAAAAAATAAAAAAAAAGAGCCTGCTTCATTAAAGGAAGATTAAGTAGGTAGAAAATCTCGTTTACCAAAAAATGAATCTAAATCTTATAATAATAATGTTTAATTCACATTTAAACCATAAAATGAGTTTTTAGTCAACAAAATTAAAATTATATCATCATCAATCCATGATGATGATCAACCATACATAGATTCAAATACAAGTTTAAAAAATGAATCTTAAAATTTATAAGATGTTCAATTTGAGAATAAAAATCAAAAAAAAGAAATTAATGATCCTGCTCCCAATATATTTAAATTATAAATTCCTAAAATGCCATCTAATGAACTCAGTTAAAATTCAGAGAAAGTTAAATTATAAGAGGCTCCACCAGCATCATTAAATACTTATGAACCTCTCTAAAGATAGAATTCAACATAATCTACATTCTCTGTTAAAATACAAATTCCTAGATTAAATCCTCCATAACCAGATATAAACAAGGAGACAAGTGAATAATAAGCTTAAAATCCAACAAAATCTAGTTAAGCAATATAACCATAGGCTACAACTAAATAAATGCCAATACCTATTTAATAACCTACATAATCAACATTAACAGAATCTTAAAATTAGTGGTAATCATAATAAAAAATAACTATTTCTAATCCATAATAAATATCATCATAATTACCTTTGTAATCTCTAAATTAATAATAAAATATTTAACCATCATAATAATCCTCATCTTTAGTAACATAATCATCAAAATAATCATAATCATAATAATAATAACCACAATAATAAAATCAAATTTAAATCTAAAAATAATAATAATAATAATAATAATAATAATAATCATAATAATAATCATAATAATAACAAATAAATGTTGATGAATAAAAAATACAAAAAAAAGTAGAGGTTAAGAAAGAACCAATTGAGTTTGGATAATAAAATTCCTAAATATCCTAAGAATAATAATATTAAAAACCTTAATCTTATGATACAAAGATAATGTTACCAAAATAACCAACATAATAATTAATTAATTTCTCAACTTCTCAAACTTAATAATAAAAATAACTTGAAAAACCTCTTCCAATCAGCAAAGGAACAACACCAAAGTAAGAAATTCAAAATACTCCAAATACTCCAAAGGGAAAGAGAAAAATTATTGATTCGGACGATTCATAAGATTCTGACAGAATAGAATAAATTCCTATTATAAAAAAATGTAGTGAAAAAAAGATTGAACATAATGAAACCCCAATATAATTGAATTTATCAGGGCCATCTTCAGAAAAAAAGATTTCAAATTTAGGCTCTCATTCCTTTTCTTTAAATGAATTAGAAAACAAATAACAAAAAGAAAATTAATCTATAAAAGTACCTCCTACCACTCCACCTATTGTATAACAACCACCAAAACCTGAAGTGGCTGCTCCATCGAAATATGTTTTTAAAATTGATGTCAATGCAATTTAAAAACAAGAGAATGATCATAATTTAAAAAAAATAGAAAAGTAAATAATCTTCATATTAATTCTTTTTTAGAAATAAAAAGTATGCATACAAATTAATGTCTATTTTGAAAAGGCATATCATTGCAAGATAACCAAATATTGAAATTTTAAATAAATGTTTAGAAATTCCTTCTAAAACTACTCTTAATATGGTTTTATTATGGCTAAAACATGAATTTGATAAAATTCCTTTTTAAGAATATGTAACTATTTCAAAATTTGTTGAATTAATATATTAGAGTATTTAAAAGTTTAAATGTGACGAGCAACCTCAAAATGAATAGCTTTTATAACAATTTTTTGAAAAAGAAAAAGAATAAGAATAAACTAGATTAAAAAGAATTGAATAAGAAACTAAAGTATAACAAGAACCTATTATCTTGGAGAAAATCGATTTAGAAATGTTATTTAAATCATTAAGAGTTAGATCAAAAAGTATATAATATGAATATAATTTTCATTAGAAAAAAAAGTTAATGAAAAAGAGAAGAAGGAAAGAGATAATGATAAATAAAAAGATAGTGATAAATAATAATAAAAACCTGTATTTCATCAATAATAAGAAATTTTAAGCTTTTAATTAGCAACGACAAAAAAGATTAAGACTGAATAAAAATAATTTATTTCAATCTAAGAGACAGACGAAGAATACGATTTGCAAGATAAAGGTTAAGATTGGTGGAAAATTTTAGAAATGAGAAAATAATAATGTTAGTCTATGGAAATGGAATAAAAGGGAAAAGATGACGAAAAAAATGAAGCATTTTTTATTAGAACATTAGATTAAGTAAAAATTAATCATACTCTTATTTTGGGTGAAAAAAATAGCGAAAAAGGATTGTATTCTACAATAGTTGTAGAGAAAATGTTCTTCTTTCTATTAAATAATCAATCAACGTATTTTAAATAAAATAAAATCCTACTTACTAATTTTTTTTAAAAATTAAAGGAAAACTCAACAGAGAAGAGAAATGAATTATATTAATAATTCAGTAAGTATAATTATTATGTTGATGAAAATCACGTTTAATTGACAGATTTATACAAAATAGATAATTATGCTGAAATATTGGTCAAATTGACTTTGAAGGATGATGGTGATTTTGATCAATTTTAATTGGAAAATAAATTAATCCTTAATTTGAAAATCAACAATCTTCTAAGTTACACTACTAAACATAATTTTATAAACTATTCTTAAATAAATAAGTAGTTTTAATTAAAGTTAGCTTAATATCCATAATCAATTAGTGAGCCGATTTTACTTTCAAAACTATATGAAATGAATGATATTTTTGTAGAAAGTTTGGAAACTACAAAAATGAATGAGTAAATTACTTTATAAAATTTAGCAATGCCGGTTGTGGAGTGTTTTTATGGAATTATAGAAAACAAGAAATAAATTAAGAATATTAATATTCATGTCATTTATAGATTTAAGTTCCATTTACATTTATCTAAGATTTAACTTTAAGCATAAATGATACAATTATCCTTAATGGAGAAAAATTATGATTTATATATATAAATTATTTCACAAAATTAAAATAGATTGAGAAGTAAATATTAATGTTTTGAGAAAAAAATATAAATTTAGAATTGTTTATTTCTTCTGAAGATATAAAATGGGTGTAAAATGAAAATTTTAAATATGAATCTAAGTTATAATATAATGAGAAAAAATCAATGAGTAATAAAACGAATGAATTTGATTTAATAAAATATTTAATTCATGAAATTTTCAAGATTAATTGGCAGATTCTTATTGGCATTACTATTCATTAATGTTGGCTTATCTCAATTAAATGATACTGATCCATTTGTTTAATTTGTAAATGTGAGATACCCATATTTTTATGAATATGTTTAAAAATTGACAGGAAATTCTTTGGATTGTACAGAAATATTAGTAATATATAAATGATTTTAGAAACCAATTAATATCATTAAACATACTCCATGTTTAATTTAAGCAATAGGAGGTGCTTAAATAGTTTTAGGATTAGGCGTAGCTTTAGGAATTCAAGGTGCAGGATGTCTATTGGCTTTATTAAGTATTATAATAACAGCATTTGTTCATAATCCTATAATTTATCTAAACAAAGTGTATTATTGATATTTAATTGTAGAGATACATAAGCTGAATATATTAACATAATTTTCAATGTAGGAATAATTGGTGCATTATTTTTGGTTGGTAAAAGAAGAAAGAATAGAGGAAGTTGTGTAACTGGGGGTTGTTTGATAAAGCCTAAAGATGAGAAAAAGGTTGATTCAGATGCAAAAGTTCCTACAGGTAAAGATGTACCTAAAAAATCAAAAGCATCTGGAAATCCAAAAGGAAAAGAAAAATCTAAAAAATATTGAGTATTTTAAATAAAATAATGATTATTTTTATGGGTTGATGAAAAATAATGTATTGTATTCATATACCATAAATTAAATAAAGATATAAAAATTTGAAAAATGGTAACATAACAAGTCTAAGTATTTAATAGGGAGTCGATGCTTATAAAAAGACTAGAGTTCAAAGGAATGTAGGAAGAAAAGTGACTTCTACAAACCTTTATTTAAAATTGTTAATAAAGGTAAAAGTATTTTGATTTATTGCTTAGTTATACAAATTCTTAGCCAGAAGAACAGATTCTTAATTCAATGTTACCATATTAAGAAGACTTTAATCAACAAGAACTGCAAGATATCCAATAAGTGTCAGCAGACTTGTAAAATAAATAAATACAGCTAAAGATAAAACAAGAACTCTAGTAGTTGTAGGAACAGTAACTGATGAGTAAAAATTGAAATTTATTGCATTTTAGTGCTCGTCTTCTTACTGTACCAAAATTAAATGTTTGTGCTCTCAGATTCACAGAAACAGCAAGAAAGAGAATTTTGTCAGCAGGAGGAAAGACTTTAACTTTTGATTAATTAGCATAATAAAATCCAACAGGTAATAATCAAAATCTAATATTTTTAGGAACCGGCACTATTTTATTGAGAGGTCCAAAAGTTAGAGAAGCCTTAAAGCATTTTGGAAGAGCAGCTGGATTACCAGGATCTCATGCCAAACCATATGTAAGTCACACTGCAAGAAAAGGAAAAGGTGCAAGATGATTTGTTTTTTAGTACATTAGGACATTAAAAATAAATAAGTTTTTTATTATATTAAATCAAAAAAAATATTTAATTTGATGACAGATAAGAGAATTGACAAATATATTTTTAATGTAAAAGATAGAATTGGGTAAGGATCTTATGCTGAGGTCTATAAAGGAACTAATGAAAAAACTGGAGAAAAGGTAGCTATCAAAATGTTGAGAAAATCAGTAATAAATTCGTAATTATTACCCAAATCCATTTAGAGATGATTATTTAAGAGAAGGACTTATCTAGGAAATTAAAATTATGCAAAAATTAAAGAGTCCTAATATTGTGTCTTTGTTAGATGTCATGGAAACTAACAATAACTATTATATTGTTTAAGAATATTGTGATGGAGGTGATTTTGATGAGTAAATATATATAAATTAAATTCATAGATTCTTGAAAAAAAGAAAATTACTTTCAGAAAAAGAAGCAATTAAGTTCTTAATTGATGTACTTAATGGTTTTACTTAACTTATAAAAAATGGTATTATACATAGAGATCTTAAACCTGCAAATATTTTGATTGACAAGCAAGTAATTAATTTAATACACTGAAGACATATAAATTAGCAGATTTTGGATTTGCTAAGTGCGTAGACAATTTTAAGAAAACTATGATGGCTTCTATGGTTGGTACTCCACTCTATATGAGTCCTTAAATTTTGGATCACAAAAGGTATAACTCAAAAACTGATGTTTGGAGTATAGGATTTATATTTTATGAAGCTTTGTTTGGAAAAAGTAAGAATCTCAAATTATATAAAAGCCCCTTGGACTGCCAGATCTCCTGCTGAACTGTTAAAAAATATAAGAACTCAGCCTCTAAAATTCCTTACTGATAAAAATTAAGTTTCACAAGAAACTTAAGATTTAATTATTGGGTGTTTATAAGCAGATGAAAATAAGAGATTATCTTGGGAGGAAATCTACAAACATCCAGCAGTTAGCCAATATTTTAGTGTATTTATTGTTAAATTATTATAAAGGACTTTATCAAGGGAAATAGTAAGTTAGAAGATAGAGCACAATATTTAATTAATGACATTAGATAGATGATTTGCAAAGAAAAAATAGATATTCATAAGCTCTTTGCTGATTTAGACATGTCAAAAGATAAGGCTCTTGATGTAAATGAATTAGGAAAGTTTTTAATGAAAGTAGATAAGGATATCACAAGAGAAGAAATTGAATATATATTTAATAAATTTGATGATGATGGTAATAATCAAATCGAATTTGAAGAATTTAAAAAATGGCTTGAAGACAATTAAGTATTGCAATTGAATTATTTTTAGATTATCACAAATGGTGGGAATGCTCAATAATAATAAAGAAATGGTGGGTCACATAAAAAATTGTCAATTTTGCCACATTAATTAAAATCTTAAGGGTCTATTGAAGAAAGAGCTAATTATGTTATTGAAAAATTAAAATTGTCAATTTAAAAATACAAAATTAACCTATTAGATTTATTTAAAAAAGTATCAGCCTAAATTATAATAGTTTGATAAATCTGCTGATTAGAGATTGGATAAAAATGAAATGGGATTGTTGTTAAAAAGAATTGAACCAAATATAACTTAAGAAGAAATAATTGCTTGTTTTGACTTTTTTGATGAAAATGGTGATGGAGAAATTACTTTCTAAGAATTTTAAACGAGTCTCAGTGAAGAAGTCGGAAAAAAAAGATAAAGCTTAGATAATCACTGATAAAATATCACATTATCATACATCAATAATTAAATTCTAATCTGTAAACCATTTCAATTAATTTTTAAACTAAAGTTTTAAATAAATATTGATATTTATAAAATTATCTTAATTTTTTTATATTCTCAATTAAATTTATTAATTTAATTATGTTCTCTTGAATTTTGTAAAATAAAATAGTAAATAAGGATTAATTGAAATAAACAGAGGTTTAACATTAATAAGTAAATTAAAAATAGGAGCAAATTAAAAAAAACAAAGAAGTAAGAATTAGATTATAAATAATTTAATCAGAATAAATTAATAATATATGATTGCTTTGTCAAATGTAGCCTATTTGTTTCAATATGGTTTTAACAAAATGAATCAAAATATCATATCTCATCTTAGGAGTTTTAAGTTGGGGAAGAGGTAAATAAGTAACAATAGTTTCATACATTTTACGAGCTTTTCTAAATTTTTCCAGTTTAGATGGCTTTTTCATATCAAAATCATGTTCTCTAGTAATGATCATATGATGATGATTATTGGCTTATTCTTCATTAATGACACTAAGTGGTTTCACAACGACAATTTTACCTTTAATTTTTAAAGTGTCAGTTTCAATTTAGTAGATATGAGGAGGTAAATAAGTGCTTTCCCCGATTCCACCAAAGCATAAAATATTGGTTCCATTTACACAGCTTGCATGACTCCATCGTTTTGTCTGTAAGCCTTACCTTTAGGCAATAGTCCAAATATTAGTTTAGAGATTTAAAATAAAAATATCATTTTAGTACTCTTTCCTTTCTTAAGATCTTCCACCAAGTAAAATTAAATATTCTCCAACATTCTCCATAGTATGATTGTATCTACTATCTGGTGCTAATCCTATTGTTTAAACCTTCTCCCATCCAATTGGATGAGGACCAAAAAAAAGCATTCTCATTAAAGGAAATGAAGCAAGCTTAGCAGTTTATCCTCCATAAATATATACTGTTTCAATATTTCTTTTAAAATCATATGCTGTACATTGAGCATGTTAGGCTATTCCTTCTTCAAATAATATTTTCTAACCTGTCCATCTTTTTGATTCTAATGAATATACAAGAGTATCATTTAATAATTTCTCTGCAGAATCTATTCCTCCTGTTACAACCATTAATTTTCCAAAGAGTACTGATGCTTTATGTTCTCGTCTTGGCTCTACAGACTCAAAAGTTACAGTCCATTGATTTGTTAAAGTATTAAATTATGCAATTTTTGAAAACACTTCTCGAATTTTCATTTTATGATCATAATATCCTGACCCTCCAAATAAAATCAAATAATTTTTCCAGACTACCATTGAATGATTTGTTATAAATAATTCAATATCTGAACAATAATTAAACCATTCTTACCTGTCTACAAATTAATATAAAATAAATACTTAAATCAAACCACCACATCTCATTTGTTATTCCTGCTCCACTCATTCCTCCAAAAACATACATTCTATCTCTAACTATTGCTATTTATGTTGATTCTCTTCTACTTGGAACAGCATAAGAATAAGAATTCAATGTTTCTTCAAAAAAGGTTAAAATTGACTAATCATGCTGCTCTTCATCTTCAGTAATTTTTCTTTTCGACTAATTCTACTTTTAAATCTATGGTAATTATTGTCTTTCTGGACTACTACATATTCCCAATTATTTTTCTAAATATTTCAATGTTAATTGCTCTCTATGTGGAACCTTACGTTGATTGCATTAATATTTTTTTTCACTAATTGTTATATCTCTTACTGTCTAAGACATTTTTGATTACTCTAGCTCCATAAAACTCTATTAAATAAACTTTTGTTAAGATTTATTGGCTTGCAATTAATGATATGCTCCTGCTTAAATTCTTCTAATAGAATGAAAATGTTATGAAATGTCTTCTAAAGAACTATTTTCTATACTGGGCAGTACTAATTATACTTTATGATCAGATTCATTTTTTTCTTTTCTTTTTTTCTCATACTTATAATGGAAGTGGGTGTTACTTTAATATCTCAAAGCATTTTATTAAGATTCATCTTTAATGCACTTTAACAAATCCTTATACTAATCTCTCTCCAAATTTAAGTTGGCAGCATTCATTCCCAATTAGACAAATTAAATATTATTAACGAAACTACTATAATTTATTCATGCATATAAATGATAATTTATAATTCATACTATTTAACAAGTTTAAAAATTAACACTATATTATTCTATCCCCTGATAACTACAAGCTTTAGCATCATATAATAATTTTATATACTGATTATAAAAAGACTCATAAATAAAGTGGACATGATTAAATTTTAAAAATAACTCATATTTAATATTTTAATATGCTATCAATATTTCCATCTTGTTTCTAAATATTTTTTTTGAACATTCTCATCCTTTATTTTTTCTGCTAATTATGCATATAAAATGGCTTTAACATTGCTTAGAGGATAATCTTAAAAAATATTGGACAATTTTAATAAAAAGTATCTCAATTTAATAGATACTTCTTTCTAAATCCAAGTTTTATACTTTTACATTAGAAAAATTGCATTGAAGTATTAATGAATATCATAACAAGTCATTCGCTTGTTTTCTATCTCTTGAAACATTTTTTATTATTGTTCAACAAAGTATTAGTCAGGTTCAATTTTAATTTACTCAATATACTCTTGAAGATCATCAATATATTATAAAACTCTGTCTTAATTGATCCATTAAATATTGATTTCTTGCTTGAAAGTTTCGCCACCTATGTATATGGCCTATTTAGTAATTATTTCTTGACAGTCTAGAATTGTGGCTTGACTGAAAAACAATAAAAAATAAAGTAATTTGGCTACATCAGTTTTATATTTAGTTTGTTGATCATAAAAATTTATCAATTCTTATTCTAATTTGGATGTAAATAGTTAAAGACTATCTAAATATCTTAGTATTGAGGAAGATATGCTTTCATGTAAGATTGATTCTCTCTCAGTTATTTTGATTGATAATTTACTCATGAGATTTTTCACTTCTTCTTATAATTCAGTCCAAGATATTCTTTAATTTGGATCATAAATAAGCATTCTTTCTATTAATTATTTGAAAACTGATATATAAATAAGTATTACCAGATTTTTATGGGCAAATAAATGGATTTTTTTTTAACTATTACTAGAAATTTTTCAAATTTTCTAAAGTATTTGCCTAACAGTATGGCTATTTGTATACAAATTAATAAAGCATAGTCCCTAACTGCATAATGCAAATTATTTTACAGAATAAATGTCACATTAGTTTGTATAACCCTTTCCTGTAAGAGTAAGTACTTCTGGAGCAGAATAAATAGGAGTGCCAGCTAAAGTAGTAGCTAATTCTTAATTTGTATTAATCTTACTGACTCCAAAATCTATAATCTAAAAAATAATAGAAAAGTAACTACTTTAATTTTCTTTTTATTATCTTCGTATTTAATCAAGATGTTTTCTGGTTTTAAATCTCTGTGAATTATTCCATGTTTCTATAACTCCATGTAGCCATTAGTAATTTAGTCTAAAAAATCTAAAATTTCTGCATTGTTAACATTATTATTTTTTTCAAAATATTATTTAATATCTTCATCACATTTCTCCAAAATAACATAAGTCTAATGTTTATCATGAAAGCAATTATATATTTGAATAATATTTTTTGAATTATTCTTTGATAACTTTTCATAAACTGAAATTTCTCTTTATCCTTCAATCTAGGTATTATCAATAACTTTAGCGCAAAATTCTTTTTAATCCCGTAAATCAATAGTTAAATATATCACTCCTTACATCCCACTACCCAATTTATGAGTAAAATCTACTATGTATAGATTATCTAAGAGCTTATATGGTTATTAAAAAATTGGGATACGAGCAAGTTCTTCCCAACTAATTCTCTTTCTAGGCTCAAAAACTATCATTTTCTCAATCAAATCAATATATTCTTAATCAATGTCTCCACCTTTTTGACATTTGAATTACTGCTACTTTAAATTCATTAAAAAGGTTTATAGCTCCATCGAATTCTTCAATAGTTAAGGCATTTAATTTTAAAAGCATAATTAATGTAAAATAATTCCCAACTAAAGAATTAAATTAAAAATTACTGAAAATATATCACATTTATCATTATAACCTTTTTCAGGTTAAAACATAACTTCAGGAGCCCAATATACTGGAATGCCGGCCTTTGTTTAAGCTAATTCTTAATTATTTACTAATCCAGATAAACTAAAATCTGATAACTAATGTTTATTAGATAGATTACTTTTATAATAAACCTTCCTTTTATTTATTTAATAAGTATTGTCTATGGAGTTAAATTTCTATAAATAATTCCTAATTATTTTAAATGTTAATATCCATTGATAATTTAAGCAATTATTAATTGTATATCTTGCCTTGAAAAACCCAATGATATCTCTAGCCTTTTTTTCATAAATTAATCTAATGTCATTGAGCATTCCTCTATTATGACTTAGTTATTGAATATTTTTAAGATTTCTACAACATTTAAACACTTATTAATTTGCAATTTCTAATAAATATTCATCTCGATTTAAAGTCTATCTTGAGATATTCTCACAACCACTTATCCTTGTCCAATATTTTCTTACTATTAAAGAACACCAGTCTGATAACAGGGTTAATAATTATAGTTATGTATCCTTTAAGACATTTTAAGAAAATTTATTATACTAATTAAAAAAAGAAGTCTATAATAAAATGAGAAAATTAACTAAATTTAAATTTTATCAAAAGTTTAATTGAGCTGCTCAAGAGAGTCAAGATTTATTTTAAGGAAATAGAAGCCTAAAAGGGAACTTTAATATCTATATCTCTTTTTTTTTCTAATTGTCTATTTCTATTAACAAATATAAAAAGTTATTCATTTAATATATTCCCAAAATAAATAAATTATTGAATAATTAACCTTACCAAAAGCATAAAAAGACCTAATTTAGAGTGGAAAAACGAGCACCAAACTGCAGTGTTTAATAGGACAAGATAAAAGTGAATAATTAGCAAGTCTAGAGTCTAAGTTTCTATTTTAGCCTTATAGAAATACACTGTCTCATCATTGTGCTATCATTTTACTAAATTTCTTTAAAATTCATTATTAGGTTTTTACCAAATTATGAATAACAATGTATGTTTCAAAATTTATATGATGGTTAATATTATATAAGAGCAAAAAGCAAAATTTATAGTATGGAAATGTTTATATAGAATAATATTATAATTATTAAATATGATGCAGACATTTGCCATAGCAATTAGTATTTCTGCGATAAAATCTCTAACACTTAATCTTAATGACATTTGTCATTGCTCTTAACTAATTTAAGAGTTTGAATGCTTGAATTCTGCTCAAGAATGCAATTGGGATTACTCATCTAAGAAATGCCTTGAAACTCCTTGTTCAGAAATTCTTATTTAAAGCTCCTGCTTATAATAATCATAAAGATGCTATTGGATTTAAGGCTTATGTTAAAATTTTACTGCATGCGTAAATCTCTAAGGATAGAATTAAAACCAATGCTTAAACTAAAATATTTTTTGCCCAACGTCGAATGGCACAAATTGTTTATCTCCCCAAAACCTATAAAATTGTACATCCATTTCGACACCTAATAATTGCAATAATTTTGTCTCAACTACTGGATTGTGTATGTGGAATGGAAAAAGCTGTATTGAAGCAACATCATGTTCTTAACTTTATAGCAATTCTACTCCTTCTTGCGATTCTTCTAGATGTTCTTTCAACTCTACAAATTTATGTTAACCAAAAGTTTGTGGTCAATATTTATATGAATATTAATGTGCTTAAGGAATATCTACATTTGGTCCTTATCTAAACAATATTATAGGATGCTATTGGAATTAAGATTCAAATGAATGTCAAGATTTTGATCCTGAAATAATGGATAATATTGATTGCTATACATATAGTTTTGGAACCTATCATTGGGATAAAAAAAAAGGGGAGAAAGGGGATTGTGTTTCCTGCTTTTAATAATTATTGATATTTTCAATAATTATGATCATTTTGATATGAATCATATGAAAACTATATTTAAATAATTCCATAATTTATTCTCTAATTTAATTTTAATAATGTAAAATCTCCATGTAATTATCTAAAAAATAATTAAATGAACTGCTTTGTTATTTATATTTAGATTTTTGTATATATTACACTGCTTTTCTTATTTTATTTATTTATTATTATTATTGTATTGTATATTTAATGACAAACATTTTAGGATAGTATTGTTATTGCATTTTATATTCCAGATAACCTAAAATTTTTCAATTACTTAAAAATATTTGGAAAATTGACTTTATATCCTTAATTTTAAAATTGAGTTAAGAAGGTTTCATTTTTCATAAATTATCTTAAACAAATATTTGAACATATTTCAATATTCTTAATTAAATTTGAAGATTAAATAAAAAATTAAGATTAAGCTGAAAATGAATATAAGTAAATCTATTGAACAATGGAGAATAGTTTATTACTAATCCAAATTATTATGTAAATTTAGGATTAAAAACATTGAAATTAAGAAAACAAGCAAGAAGGTATTAGAGAAGCAATTAAAATTCATGATAAAAATATTGCTACAGTATATTTTGAAAATGATTATATCAGTCTTAATGAAGAAAATATGGAAGCAGAAGCATTATAAAATATCTAATAAACCCGTAAAATCAGTAGTCAAGAAATTTATAATATTAAAGATTGATTGCATTAAATCATTCATCAGAAGTTTTATTAAAAAAGTCTGATCTAGTTGACTAACTTAAAATTTAAATGAGAATTCTATTAGTTTTTAATAAAAACCTTTTAAGAATATTAAAGTAATCAAAAAATCATAAAAGCAGTTTAATTAACTAGAAAAAACACAAATTAATATTAAGTATTTCATTATTAGAGAGTTTGAGATATTAATTAGTTTACAGAAGATAACAAATAATAGGAATATGAATTAAAATATTGAAAATTAACTATAGAGATCTTTTATAGTAGATCATAAAGAAAATGTAATAAAGCAAAATTCTACTGTCCTTAGTCAATAAAATTATCAGAAAATATCAATTCCATCTTCATACAGTTTAGAAATTTTTTAAGATATGACTATTATCCCTTAAGACAATTTAAATATAAATTTTAGTAGCATGAATAAAGCGTCTTTTGAAATAACTCATTAAACTATTTAAAGCTCTTCTATTGATATAGAAATAAAAAAAAACATCGAACAATTTTTTATCTTTTAATTAAAAACTAATTATTTAAACAATGCAATTATTCAAGTAACTTGTGAATTAAATAAAAACTTATTAATTGAAATTATTAAGAAAAAAATATAAAAAAAGTTTATCTACTGAAACTTCGTTTAAAAAAGCCTAAAGAAATTATAGAAAGCATGTTGAAAACCTAATTATTTAAACTTAAAATAATTTATTTTGAAATTTCAATACATTAGATTTAAAATATAATATGAAAATTTAATTCACTTTTTTAAATGAAACACAATCTCTAGAATTAATCAAAAATTTTAGAAAAAAATAAATTAATTTTAACTTAACATTCTAACAATAAACCCAAAATCAGTTCCAATAAATCATTTAATCTAAAAAGATTATAATAGAAAAATAATAATAGAAGAAAACCTAGAATTGAGTGAAATATAATCACAAGAATTAAAAGAATTAAAAATGAGAGAAATAAATTCTTTTTTGAATTTGAATGAAAAAGATTTCATCAAAAAAAATCTCATAAAATTTAAAAAAATTTTATTCATACTCTAATTAGTGTAGATATGCAGGATTAGTTTAGTAGATTTATTAATAGGTTTTGGAATAGGATTTACTCAATTATTCTTTTCTTCCCAATTATCCATGAAGTTGCAAACCAAGGTTAATTGAAACTAAGGAGTTAAGTTAATTATGATCATTAAAATAAGAATTAATTTTTGTTTTCTTCTTACTTAAAATAAGATTTAATGTTTAATTAAAATTTAAAAGTTTATAGATTCTCATTTATCAAAGTTTTAAAATTCAAATCGTATAAATCTTTGGGATGACATATACTGTCTAACCTAATAAGTGTCTTAAACTTATACATATTATAAATAAAGGAATTGTTAAGATTTATAGATTTTATTTGGTTTTTTTCAACATCTTATACAAGTATATTTAACTTTATTATTCTACTTGATCATACTTATAAGATTTATTATTTAATTTATAGAAAATTAATTCAAAGCCTAAGAATTATTCCTTATTTAATATAATTTTAACATTTAATGTAATTATATTGAAAATTTAAAGAATACATTTCCGATAGCAATTTTATTGGTGTTGATGTAGCATCAAATAAATCTTCCAAGAAAATTAAAATATATACAAATAATTTAAAAAATTTCCGTAATTTAAAGAATTGAATTAGGAACAAATTTTCAATGCAAAATCAATTTATTTTTATTTTGGGTTAAAAATCAAGCATATTTGTTTTCATTTCTTCAATAAATAACACATAAATTTTTGATATGTTAATTTTATGAGGGAGGCTTAAAATTTTGTTTTAAAGTTAATCTTGGATTGGATTTTAGTAATTAAAGAATTATTGAAGGTCTGTCAAAATTAAAAATTTGAATGCATTAAAGAATATAGACAATAGTTATATCATTTTTA